CTTGTTGTCCCCTTTCTTCACTTCTCCTTCTTGCTTCCGCTGGCTCCCTCTCTCGAGCTAAAAGTCAGAAAGTCCGGTTGATTTCCTCGTCCAGTGGTATTAAAGGTGTCGGATTGCTCCGGGTCATGCACCTCCCTACACACACTTAAAGAACACAACACGTCTAGCACAAGTAAACACTTCACAAACTTGACAAAACAAAAATTAAAAGCTAGATTAACACCAAACAAACTTTTCACGATAACAGACCGTTGTTCCTCGGAAACGGCATCAAAAAACTTGACTCGCTCCGACTATCACAATAAAATCTCACCTAAGGTCCAAGTATACACCTTAGATGAGTTCAATATAGGGCAAGTATGTTTAAATATCGAACCGGGCCATGTACTTCTACTTCGACTGTTTGAAACATTATCTAGTGAATTGGTTTTGGTGAAAACAAAGGTCTAAAACTAAATTACTTTGCAAAGTTAAAATGAATTTCACACTAGTTGAGAAAGCTTCACCTGGGTGTTGCTTTCCCTAGCTAAAACTTACGACTTGAAGACTCAAACGACCGTGTGTGGTTAGGGGGTCATAAAGCGCAGGGAAGTCTAACAAGCAGCCAAATCTACCCTCTTAGCCTCTAGGTTGAGGAATGGGATACGATCCAAGCCACGAATGTGATCCTCTCAACCTATTGACTAAGGAATGATTAGACTTCACCCTCGAATTGGAGTTCGGACGGCCACCCACAACACAACCCTAAGTGCTTAATACAAAATAGGAGGTTGCCCTATAACTAACCTAGAATAGGAGGCATAGAATGCCCAAGGAAACCCATCTCTAATAGAGCCTCTTTTGAAACAAAGAAGGTTTCCTCTCTAAACTAGCATAGGAGGCATGAAATGCACAAGAACACCCATCTCCAATAGAGCCTCTTAAGCTAAGGAGGTATCCTCTCTAAGTTAGGTTAGAACGACAATTAGATTAATAGGCTTTCACACAACACAATCATTTCTGAATAATACCTCCACAATCACATTAAAACACAACCACACACAAATCGTTCAATTCATACAAGTATTTACATAATTGTAGCTAAGGCTTACAAACACTCAAGTGAAAGAAGGTACTACTCCATGCTAGGAGAAGGGAAAACACAAAAGAGGAAAAAGAAAACCATCATGAAGATGTAAGCCTTGCTTCTTGTGCTGAAGAAACCCAAATTCTTGCTTGGAGATGGAACCCTAGCATTTCCTCTTCTTTGATTCGTCACTTTCTCACTCTAAAATCTGAAGAAGGAGAAGTTTCTCACACTAGGTCTCTCTCCCTTTTTCTTCTTCCTTTCAGCTCCTTTTAATTGAGATCGTGCCCAGTTCACTGCCTGAGTTCGCGGCCGTGAATATTGAAACATGTCTGTGATCTCAGTGCTGAGACCAAAACGCACAGCTCTGTTGGCTCGGGTTCACGGTCTGTGGCCTATGTTTACGGTCTTAGCGAATGTGAACACCCTAGCCGTCAGTAACCTGAAAACCCCTCTCTGGTCGCTCATTTCTTCACAGGTTCTGGCTCCAGTTCACGGCCTTGTAAGACCGTGAACTCCAACCTCACGTCGTGAATGGCTGTTTCCTCCTCTTTGCCCAGTCTTTGTTCCTTTTCTTCCAACTTTCGACTCCGGGTTTGGTTTTACCTGTTAGGATCTGAAACACAAGAAACCTCACGTAAAACCAACCTTTTTGGAGTTCAATTGCAACAAACGTCAAATAGAATCAGGGGTAAAAAGTGTACAATTAGGCCCGAATAATCTCCACAGCGGAGGGGGCCATCACCGGAAGAGCACGATGTCGTAAGTCATTATCGGTAAGTACGCACGTAACGGACTTTGCGATCCACTCACGAAGATGGGGCCAACTTTTTTCATTTTCTAGTATACAATTTTTTTAAAAATATGTCATAATTATAGAAAATAAAAATGAAAAGTGTTGGAAAGAATGATATAAAAGAAAGAAATTATGAAGGATAATTATAAAGGAAAATAAATAATGGAGGGAGTACTTATCTGAACCGCTGGTATCCCCCGCGTAACCGCCACTGCCCCGGAATTGAAACCTGCGGTAAGGGTGGGCACATGAGTAGTTAATTCGCGGATTGATATCGATCCACCCGCAAATAACTCGACTCGCAAGCAGTGGGTGATTGATGAGGGTGGATTTCGGATTGATAAATCTATCACCCGAAGTTATGTTGGTGGGTGGTGAGTGGATTGTGGGTCACCTAAATGACCCGCATCCCATTTTTACATGAAAAAATGGTGTTTCTTATATTGTCGAATATTCATCATATGTTCGAACTGCACGACAATCTGACCATATAATTTTAAAGGTGGATAATAAAGAATGACTTTGACTACTATTACTAGTTATTGTGTTGTGTAATATCTATTAGATATTGGATATTGGAATGCAATATATTGTTAATATCCATTAATTTTGGGATGAAAACTATAAATTATTAATTTTATCAAAATCACAAAATGCATAAGTTTTCTCTAATCAATTGGTTGATAGAGTAGTAAAATTTTGTATGTAAATACTACATGGATTCACTTGAGACAAATTGAGAAGTGTTTAAATGGAAATAGTCTTATTAATTTACTATGAAATTATTATAAATGTTAGTCAACTTTCTTAATGGCTAGTTGGAGAATTGTTTTTGCGGGTTAACCTACGAACTAATTGTACTCATCCGCCACCCACCCAACCCGACCCGCAGAAGAATATGGGTGGATTGCGGGTCACAATTATTCCAACACGCTAGTAAGCGGGTGGGTCAATTTGAAACGAAAACCCATCCAACCCGCCCATTGCCCACCCCTAATCGGCGGTGCTTTGAAGGTTACCGCCGTCGCCGGTAGACGCACCCGCCACTCACAAATCTTTGTACCGGAACCGAAACGGATGTAAGCCCGTTTGCATCATTGGTGAGACCTAGGGACTGTCAACGGCGACTTCTTCTTCTCCTGTCGTCATTGAGCCCTCCTTCTAGCGCCGTCATTGTCAACCACGCCAAGGAGTCGCAAAGATCGGCTTTAACGAAAAAGTGTAGAGGAAGGAGAAAAAGCAAAGGGTTATATGTTCGGTGGATAGTAGCGACCTAGTGGGGAGAGGAGACGAGAGAACAGGAAAATGGTGTTTTGTTTGTTTCCTAAGGAAAGTTACATACATGCTTCACAATTTCCAAATAAACTGTTATTTTCTAAAATAAAAATTACAAAATTACATTATAGATCGTCCTTTACATTACCAAAGGGTATTCATTGATTTTTTATTTTTAATTTGAAACGAAAATGACATGAAAAATGTAATAATGTTTTTGAATTTTGTAGTAACCAATTTTTTTAAATTGTTTTGTAATTTTATTTTTTTCGAACATTGTTAAATAAATATCATACATATTATGAAGTGAAACTGAAAAATAAAGTTATTTTTAACTATCTGTATATTTATATTATGAAAGAAATAGAGTACATAATTTATAAGGTAAAAATGAAGATTAGATGTTAGATTTTAAACACATTTAATAACATGAATACTAATTTTATTGTGCTTCGTAGCATCAAATAGAACTTAGCATATTGGTTACATGGTTTAAGTGATAATGATTTCGACTCTTAGGTTGCAAGTTTGAGTTTTGGTGATGTTGATTATATTCTTATTTAGTTTTACTTTAGTGCAAAATGTTGTTCTAAAACAACCATAACATATGTTAAGATAAGATGATTGTATAGATGATAATATGAAAAAGATTTGTAAATCATAATACGTCATGATGAACTCATTGCTTATGTACTCAAAATGTATTTAAAAAAGAATCTATACTACTTATAATACCTTTTAAAGAGTTTGATTTGCCTAGAGCTAGGATATGGATAAGAAAAATGGATGAGAGGTGACATCTCAAATTCTTGTTATTGGCAATCTTTAATTTGATGAATTGAAGGCTGAAAGGAGAATAATACTAGTTTTTGATTTTTGGTGTTATAAAAATAACAAGAGATTAGGTGAGAGACGAGAGTTACTTAAATTGGAAAGTCAAAATTTAGTTAGATGGGGTCTTCTAAGTTGTGACAAAGTGACAGAGTGAGGAATGACAACCGGTTGTGTGCCTATTGGCAATCTACCTTGTCCCTAACAACTATATAAGAAGAGTGGGCACTTTGAAGGAAAGGGTTTCCCCTAATTCTAACACATTAAATTAAGAGAAACAAGGATTCTGGGTGATTAGAGAGAGAGAGCCGAAGCCAGAAAATGAGAAGGATTTTTCTATCTTTGATGCATAAATTTGAAGCAAAGAAGAACAAATTGAAAATTGAAGTTTCAAATTTCAATCCATGAATATTTCCTTTTCTCCTTTCCTAATGTATTCTTTCGTAATATCTATGGGCTAGAAACCATTGTACTTGGGTAAGATGAACTCTAACTTATAGTATGTAAGTGTATTTTAGTAAGATTATTGTGTATGGATCTTAATTCCATTTATGACTACTTGATATTTGATTTTACCGGCCGCTGAAAAGTTGCAATCATTTAAAAAAAATGTGGAGAGATGCTCTCGCCTCTCTCCTTTGCTTTTGCCGACTGCTTGGCCACCTGGTCATCGTAGCTGTGAAAGAAGTTCTGCATGCTAGCATGCCCAATCAAGCCCAGGGGTGGTGTGCAGCTGGATCGCCGCCGGATCACGCAACGAACCCTTCATATTTTCCCTGTCGATGTAAACCTAGGAGCGGGTTTTGGATCTCCAACCGGCGCGAAAAGCCCCGATCCCAGAGTAGGGATTTGAAACGGAAGATTAGGAGTCCAATTAAAAATGGTATAAACTAATCGAGATGCTTCTACACGTCCATTCTTCTAGGATAGTAAGCTTAACATAAAGGCAGAAAAAGAAATCATAGTTTTATGGCGGAGTGTGATATAAACCACTCCTTAATGAAGAAAAGTCGGAGTGCTCTACGCAAGACGATGTGGAGATTTAAACTCCCCTCGTCAGATGAGCTGGAAGGCATGATCTGTGAGCATGTCCCCTCGTACCAAGCTAACCTTGCTCCTCCTAGGGAGTATCCGTTGGCGACGCCGCTGGAGAATCCCACCCTCACTAATAACTCGCGTCTATCACCAGGGCTCAAAGAGCAAACCCGAAACCCTGCCGCTTCGGAGGGTAGTGATTCGGGCACAATATACAGATATCTGGACCAGGAAAAAAATCCCGGCCGGCGGGAACAGGTGCGGTGGCGCAGTAATGACCGGCGAGACCTATCACGTTGGAGACGCAATGTTTTCGAATTGCTGGAGATTCGGACGCCGAACTGGGCGGGGGGATCTCTCCCAGTAGGATTCGCCGGTGCAACAATATATCAGATTTTATTTTTAAAAAATGAATATTTTGAGTCTTTTGGCTGGGGATGGAGATACGAATCGGAGGCTCCCTTATCCTCTTCCTCAAAGCCGTGATACGAAAGAAGTCCTGGCGAAAAGCGACCTAGTTGGACGAGAACTCTCATTTAACCCTTTCTATTTAGTGAGTAGCGTTTGGTGATAGAAAGTGTTGAGAGCTCCGATGGATTTTCCCCAACTCAGGCTCCCCTCTTCCCCTAGGTACTCTAAATCCCCCTGTGACTGTTTTTCATTTCCTTGATAGAGAGGAACAGACCCTCAGCGCCGCCACTGCTCCGTGTGAGTTGTTGGAATTAAAGTGGCGGCCACGAATGATTACGAATAATAACATTGCACCCCCCTCCTCATTGTAGATCAATATGGCGACACATGTGAGTGAGGATCAAGTGGTGCAATTCTCCCTTGATTAAGTTCAGTCTGTTCAAGTTCGTAGATCCCATATATTGCTTGGCCGCATCTTCACCACGGCGAGGATCACGACTACCGAAATTCGGGATTTGGTGAACTCCCCATGGAAATGCAAGGGGAGGGTCAAAGTGTTGCAAGCCATGATCATGGATGCCGTCGGTAACGAGGCAAAGGTATGAGGAGCTTGCGGTGGCCCCATTCCAGGTGCAACTTTGGGATGTGAAGGATGATTGTTGCACTTCAAAGTTTGGTATGAAGGTGGTTGGTCCCACGATCGGACAAGTGCTAGAAGTAGGTATATATTCTTGCCCTGACACTGGGAGATAGTTCATCAAGGTGAAAGCGTTGATCGATTTCTCTCGGCCCCTGCGATCGCAACTAATGGCTGCTAGTGAGGAGACGGGGTGCTTCTGGGTCCGACTGAAGTACGAGCACCTCCCATCCTTTTGATTCCTTTGCGGACGGGTGGGACATTTCCAGAGAGAGTGTGTTTTCGATCCCCCAACTCGCAAAGAGCGATTTGGCCCGCATATGATGACCAAGAAGCTGGGGACAAGGGTCTATGATGAGGATGATATCACTATCCCATTCCAGGGGAAGTCTAAAACTGTTTGGGTAAACAATGCCATCAAGGGCCCTCGTAACCAACTCATACCGGCTCGTAATGTTGCGGAGCCGAGACTGGAGGCTATGGATGTGGATGACGCGGATCACCATGGCCTGTCTCTTGGGCAGGGGGTTGAGGAACGGATTGAGCCCGAACCCATGGCAAGAGAGAATCAGGCGCAATCACGAAGAAGCCATAGGGGATTTCCATCCCTCGATCTCCCAAAATGAACCTGGGACCTAGCATGCATCGCCGAGCTAAAGGGAAAGAAAAGCAGGGCTCTGGCCGTATTCCCCTTGACCCAAAGACCGCTCGAAAACCAGGACTGTTGGGTAAAGAGGTGGGTCGCCACGAGGCGGATGATCGCAAACCAGATGGGCCTGTCTCTCGGGGGAAGGTTTCGTCTAACCCCTCCATTCCTGTAGTCGGTCTCACTCATGCTGTCTTGGTGGAAACTCGGAGAAGGAGATTGCTGCTGGAGGAGGAATCCGAAGATGAGCTGTCGCCGCTGTTTGCCTCCCTTCGTGGTGAGGGACGGTCAGTGGAGCAAGAACCAGTGGACGTGAAGCGGGAGAGCAAGGCTTCCCGCATATTGAGGATGGAATGCAAGCTACCCGGCCAGCCTAGCCCAAAATGTCTTGCCAAAAATGCGCCACGCCGGATGCCGAGAGAGGCGGCTGTCTCCAACAGGGAAAGCTGAAGAAAACGGTTCCATAAATGCTCCTCGCGAGACCTCAATGGCAGTGATTATTGAGGATGAGATTTGGGTGGATGTTCCTGTCCTAGAACAGATGGAGAGTGCTCCGTCCCCATTTAATACCTACCTGGAGTCGGTACCAGATGGGACTGTGATGACTGAGTCAATTGAGACTAGTCCGAAAGGCGATGTACATCATTTTGAACTGCGAAGTAGAAAACCGGTTAATGAAAGACCGCTCAATGGTCATGTTCAACAGGTGGTGCGTGCATTTGAGGTGGGATGGATTTTCATAACTCTCACTCCTCTCCTCCGATGAATGTCGCGCCTAACCCGATTATTTGCGGGCTCATGGTGGAGACATCCTCTGCGTTGACTGGGGAGCTTGGAGATCTGAATGAATATGGATCCAATGATGCGGTCCTGCAAAACAGAGATAGGAAACCGGCATTTCAGGCGGTGGATGGGGATGACTGCAAGCCCCCTACACTGAAGAAACAGTTTGTGGAAGAAAAGGACGCTACTAATACGGTGGAGGAAACCAGCCTAAAATGGTCCCAACCAGATATATGAGGCTTATGGCCTGGAATGTGAGAGGAATTGGGCCATCCCTCACATTTCAAACTGCTTTGGGTTTACTTCGTTCGAATAAACCGGAACTTGTTTTCTTTTCTGAAACAAGAGCTCGCTGGAGATTAGTTTCCCACCATTGATGCATCTGGTGGTCTTGTTGTTGCTTGGTCCCTCGACATTGACGCTTCGGTGTTTTATCATTCAGATTTTTGTATCGGTATTCAAATTAATAAAGTGGATTTTTCTTATGTTGTTTTTTTGTTTACATTAGTTGTAACCTGTCTACCAGAGCCACGCAATTGGCTCATCTTCGTGAAATTTGTGCCGATATTCATCTCCCTTACGTGGTTATTAGTGACTTCAATACCACCCTGCATGCACATGAGAAAGATGGGGGAAATGTTTGGAATAGTGCACAATCGATTAATCCCCGTGAGTTTATCATCGACCTTGGGCTTCATGATCCTGGCTATCAAGGGGATACTTTCACCTGGACGAACAAACATTTTGGTAATGCATGCATTCGCGAACGACTTGATCGGGCCTTCTGTTCTCAACGTGGGTGGAGCAATTCCTCGATACTCTTGTCAAACATTTTACAGACCTTGGTTTGGATCATAGGGCGTTGCTCCTAGTTGACCGGCCCTATGATCGATATTTTTGCCAGTTATTCAGATTTGATGCTCGATGGGCTGACAACCCTGAAGTCAAAGCGATGGTCAGTTATGTGTGGTAGGAGTCAAGCTCAAGTACCCCGATGTACCAGCTCTGGGAGAAACTGAAAAAATTGAGACATCTTCTCTATGACTGGAGTAGGGCCGGGACTACCAACTCGCTTCGTAATATCAAGACCCTCCAGGTAGAAATTGAGCTCCTCAAATCCAATCATCCGATAAATTGGGAGGCGGTGAAAGTCCTCGAGGTGGGACTGAATCGCCAATGGGAGGCAGAAGAATTATACTGGCAGCAGATGTCCAGGGTGCATTGGCTCAAAAAAGGAATTTTGTGGCTGGCCTGCATAATGACAATGGTGACTGGGTTACTGATGAGAAGTGGAAAGCTGACACTGCCTGTCACTTTTATCAGCATTTATTCACTTTAGAAAATCAAGTGGTGAATATGTTCGATAGGGTGGCGGGTCTTCCTATTGATCAAAGCGTAACCCAAGAGATGAATAATATGCTAACGGCAGAGGTTATGCCTAGGAGGTTCGAAATATAGTGTTCGCCATGGGATCCAAACAGGCTCCTGGCTCTGATGACTTTACAGGGAAATTTTTCAAGGCCTTTTGGGATATTGTTGGCAATTCAGTGATTGAGGTTGTCTGTTCATTTTTTGCGTCTAGCAGGATGCTTCGAAGCTTCAATCATACTTGGCTGACATTGATACCCAAAGTAGAGAATGTTGAGAATATGAAGCATCTTCGGCCCATCAGCTTGTGCTGATTTGTGTATAAAATTATGACTGCTAGGCTGGATGATATACTACTTAGAATTTTTGGTGAAGGCTAAAATGCTTTCATTCGTAAGAGGCAGATTATTGAGAATATCCTCATGGGGCACGAGTTGATGCACCATTTGAAAATCAAGACGCGCGGCAAGAAAGGGTACATGGCTCTAAAGGTTGACATTGAAAGGCCTATGATAGAGTCGAATGGCCGTTTCTACTAGCTGTCTTGGAAAAAATGGGATTCAACTCTGTGTGGAGAGGTGGATTCAGGAATGCCTGCAATCAACTTCATTCTCGGTCCAAATAAATGGCACCCCGACAGGATACTTCTCGCCTTCCAGGGGGCTTAGACAAGGGGACCCCCTTTCCCCATTACTGTTTGTGCTCTGTACGAAAGGATTTGCTGCTATTCTTCGCAAGGCAATAGCGGACAAGCGATTGGGAGGTGTGAAAGTCGCTCCTCGTGCCCCTCATATTTCGCATCTATTCTTTGCAGATGATTCTTACTTGTTTCTGCGAGGGAATCTCCATGAGTGTGAGAATCTTATTGAAGTTTTGAACGAATATGAGGAATTGAGTGGCCAACGGGTGAACTTGGACAAGTCGGTTGTTTGTTTTAGCAAAAATATAGCTCGAGAAGATTAGGAGTTTCTGGCTGCGATTCTGGGGGTATGAGCAATGGGGGTCCATGATAAATACTTGGGTTTGCCGACTCTAATTGCCCGCTCAAAAATGGCTACCTTCCGCTACCTGGAAGAAAAATTACTTGAGAAATTGCAAGGGTGGAAACAGCGTACTTTATCTTGGGCGGCGAAGGAGACATTGACTAAGTCAATTGCTTTAACATTACCGTTGCATGTTATGTCTTGCTTTAAAATGTTGTTGTCCCTTTGTAGACTTCTAGACAAACACGTAGCCCAGTTCTGGTGGGGTGTGACTACTGACCAGTCACGAATCCACTGGATGTCCTAGCGTAAGATGTGCCGCAGTAAGCATGATGGGGGGATGGGTTTCCGTTGTTTTGAGCATTTTAACCAGGCTCTACTGGCTAAAATCAGATGGCGAATCCTCCAGGCCCCCAATCCTTGCTGGCTCAAGTTTACAAAGGGAAGTACTTCCATAGTGGGACTTTTCTTCAGGCCCAAGCGCGCTCGCGCCCTTCCTTGGGATGGCAAAGTGTTCTGTTTGGAAGGCAGTTGCTAGAGAAGGGCTTACGATGGCAAATTGGCAATAGGCAGTCGGCATCACTGCTTTGCTCGAATTGGATCCCTCAATTGCATCTTGACCTACTGGGATTTAATCCTCAGGTGCTCCCAGAGGGTGCGGTCCACTAGTGGCGGATGTCATCGACCAGAATGTTGGGGGGGGGGGGGGGGGGGGGCCTGGTGTGTTGGTAAGCTGAGTCAATGGTTTGATCCACCCACCTGCCGTATGATCCATTCTATTACTCTTCCGAGGCAGTCTATGGCGGACAAACTTATTTGGCACGACACGACTGATGGAGTGTTCACTATTAAATCAGCCTACCATTTAGCCGTCGACCTAGATATGAGAACTGGTTGTTGGCGTTCTACGACTAGCTGGATGGATAGAGCCAGTTGGATTTGGCTCTGGGAGGCTAATATTCCTCCCAAGTTGAAAGTGTTTATCTGGCAGATTTTCCACCGTATCCTCCCCACAACGGAGGGCCTACTTGAGAAACGCGTCCCTGTTCATCCTCGATGCCCGGTATGCTGGGGGGAGCGAAAACAATGGAGCACTTGTTTCTGGACTGTCCTGTGGCTCGGGCCCTACGGGACTACGTGGGACTAGAACATCTTGGGCAAGGGTTGCCTCACCAAACTTTTCCCCTATTCCTCAAGCGGCTATTCTCCCTAATTCATCAACCTTCTGTGATCCTGTCTGTGGTGGCCATTCTGTAGCGGATTTGAAATCCCGAAATTGGGTTGTCTTTGAAGGCAAGCAATTTGGATTCCCTACCTTGATGCGCCAATATCACCAGCAATGTGAGGAATGGGAGCGGTTTCCTACTGAGAGTGTGACTCCGGGTTTAAATCCGATTTTTCATACATCTGGGTTACCTGCGGGGCTGATAATCGACTTTAATATATCGGATTCTTGAGCTTTATGTGACTATCTCACGGTATGTTTAAGCCGATTGGTGCTATTTTATGGAGAATTAATCTGTAATGGTTGAAAAGCCATTACCATTTTGTGTTGGAGTTTTGGTGTGTGTTTAGGTGAAAAGATAGATAAAATGGCAGCACTGGAACTTTTGAAGCAGGAGATGGCAGGAGGGATTGGATCCATATTTCTTCCACATCAAATCATTGAGCTAAAGCCCAATTGATGGAGGGACATGGACTGGGCTTAGGGCTGTCCATTTGGTTTTGGTTTTTTGGTTTTAACCGAAACCAAACCAATTGGAAAGCTAATGGTTTCAGTTTTTTGGTTTTAAACCAATAAGCAACTTACTGGTTTTGGTTTGATTAAAACCGAAAAACCAATAGAAACCATTAAGAAACCAATAAGAATAAAATTATTTATCAACAAATATTTTTTTGTTTCTTTTGACACGCATGCCAACCAATAATTTGTTATGACCATTATTATGACGTTTATTCAATAAATTATTTATCAACTTAATGGTTTTGGTTTTGGTTTTTGGGTTTTGGTTTTTGGTTTTTCATACTTAATGGTTTGGTTAAACAAACCAAACCAAATTGACAGCCCTAACTGGGCTCAAGGGCCCGCTAGATTGGATCAAAAATTAATGGCGGGCTGGGGATGTTTTTGGGGCCAGGGACTTTTAATATTTGGGGGCAGCAATTAATTGATGGGGGAAGTGTTTTGGACGGAATATTTTGTGAAAGAAATGACACTAGGAATAATTGGAGGGGGCCGGAGAATAAAAGGCAGCAAGCGGAATTCTCTTGGGAGGTGTGGAAATCTTTGGAGAAAAAAAGAATTGGCAGCGCGGAGCTGGGACGAGAATTCTTTTTGGGCGGAGCGAGCAGCTTGTTGCGGCGATCGTGCAGAGCAGCGGGAAGCAATTATCAGTATTTGTTTTCTTTTGCTTTGCTTCGTAACATGATGATTATGAACACGATTGTTTGTTTTATTTTTGTCATGAACTAAACCCTGATTTCTAGGGGAAACACCATAGGATGCAGCTATTTCTAGATTTGATGGATTGATTCATATCTCTTTTCTTCCAAACTCTATTGCATGAAATTACTTATTGCTTTGTGTTGACTGGCCACCAATACAGTGATTTGTAGTTAATTAGGTTATTAGCGACAATGAAACCCTAATAACTTAACATATTTCATGTGACATAGTAACTTATCGAAGCGACAGTGGATTAAATAAGATGTTATGCGGTCTTGATTGGGATATCGTTCTTCAGGCTAAATAGTTAAGTCATTGAGCTACGAGAGTAGGATTTGATTTAATTGTTTAGTACGTAGTAATTCCCGACAGGGATAGCTAGCACAATAGTGATATCCTGGCTGTAGAGATATGGATTAAATTGATTGGAATATGTGAATTAATCTGGATAGGATAGGTAGGGAGTCCCGGTGTTTCTCCCAGAGCTTTCTCTGTTGATGACTCCCGACAGTTTTCATTTAGTTACTTTGTTTATTTTATTTTGCTTTTAGAAATTAGTCTCATTAAACTATTTTCACCTATAGTTTGCTTTATAAAATTGATAGAATATAAGGTTGTACCAGTCCCTGAGAGACGATACCCGGTCTTTCCGGTTTACTACGAGATAGGAATTGAAGCTATACGCTTTTGCCCTATCAAGGTTTTGGCGCCGTTGCCGGGGACTGCCCTACCTTATTTTTGTTGATTTTTGTGAGTGAACTATTTTGATCTGGGTGTTAGTGTGCAGAAGAATTTTCAGGTTTATCCTCCTCGTGCATGCCTAGAAGGACGACTGGCAATTTACTGCCACTAGATCCGGAGATTGAGAAGACCTGCCGTTAGTACAAGAAGCAGGTCAAGTTAGGGAAGAAGCCAACCACAACTACTAGGCCTTCCCAAACCAAGAGAGGCAGGCTTCATCACTTGTCGTCCCTACACCACCACCACCACCTCGTGACATCGAGCCTGTCATCATGGCAGACCAGGATCGTTCGATCAGGGCTCGCTTGAATCGAAAGACTGGAGCCCGAGTTTCATGTGTTGTCATTCCGGCTGGGATGCAACCATGGAAATTACCCCAACATTCATCAATATGATCACCAATGGGTATAATTTCTCAGGGTCTAGTACTGAGGATCCTCATGAACATCTTTGCCGGTTCGCGAGCATTTGTGATACGATGAAGAGACCGACTGTGTCTGATGATGCAATCCGTCTTCGGATGTTCTCATTATCTCTGATAGGGAATGCATCACACTGGTTCTAGAACCTAACACCCCGTTCCATCACGACATGGGGTCAGCTTGAGAAGACCTTTTTGGATAAGTACTTTCCTCCTGCCAAGGCAATGAAGAGGCAAGAGGAAATTGTTACTTTTAAACAAGTTGAAGACGAGAGTCTGACCGAGGCATGGGAGCGCTATAAGGGGCTTTTAATGAGATTCCCAAGTCATGGTCTTGAAGAATGGAACGTGATCTATATTTTCTTCAACGGAATCAGAAGACAATTCCGAGATGCTCTGAATAATGCTTCCCGAAATGGTTTCACAAGGATGGAAGCACCAGAAGCATATGAACTAGTGGAGAAGATATGTTCTGAAGATACTGAATGGGGTAGTGAGACCAGCATTCGAAGGAGAGGAGGTTTGCATGAGATAGACAGAGTTGCAAGTTTAGAAGCAAAGATTGTTGCTAAGCTGGATTCCAAGTTCGATGCACTCGAACGAAGGCTGGCTAAGATGACTCTTGGTAGAAAAGAGGAGGTTGCTTCATGTGAACTTTGCGAGGGTACTCATCATAGGGATACGTGTCCACTGGGAGCTGCTTAGTTGGAAGATGTCCAATATATCAATAATCCGCGAAGTCAGGGCCAGGGTGGTATGTATTCAAATACATATAACCCTCAATGGAGACATCACCCCAACATGTCATGGTCGAATAATAACCCAACTGGTGTTCAAAATATCCCACCTCCTGGTTTTCAACAGCAGCAACCTCAACCAGAGAAGAATCCCCAGCTGGAGGAGTTGATTTTGGCTCATATGCAGAAGACAGACAATAATTTCAAGGGTCTTGATCAATTTGTCACTTAACAGCTAGCCATCAACAATAATAAGCAATCATCTATGCTAGCTATGGAGAGGCAAATAGGCCAGATGGCTCAAACTTTGGCAGATATTCAGGGTAGGATTCCAGGGACTTTACCAGCAAATACTGAGAGGAATCCAAAGGACGCCATGGTTGTAGCAGTCACATTGAGGAGTGGGAAGGAGTTGGAGGATCCAAAGAGCAAGAAAAATTCGGTAGAAAAGGAGGAAGAAAGTGCAAAAGCTGAAAAAATCTTACTTGCAGAGGCAAACTGCATGCAATCTGCCTGTGCATGAGCATTCTGCCTGTGCAACTCCAAAAGTGGAAAAACTCAAGAATGAAGAGGTAAATTCTTATGAACCTCCCGCACCATTCCCTCAAAGGTTAATGAAGCCCATGGAAGACTCAAACTTCAAGAAATTTGTGAATCTCTTCAAGCAACTTCATATCAACATACCGTTGGCAGAGGCACTTGAACAAATGCCTACATATGCTAAATTTTTAAGGGAGTTGCTGACGAAGAAGCGCAAATGGGATGATCTATAGAAGGTAACCCTTACTTCTGAATGTAGTGCTGTGATTCAGAATAAATTACCAAAAAAGAGGGATGATCCGGGCAGCTTCACCATTCCATGTGTCATTGGAGGTACAGAATTCAATAAATCACTTTGTGATCATGGAGCAGGAATTAATTTGATGCCATACTCAGTCTACAAGAAATTGGGATTGGGAGATGTTCTTAAGCCTACACGGATCACTCTCCAATTAGCCGATCGATCAGTGAAAATTCCAAAGGGAGTGGTGGAGAATGTATTGGTGAAGGTGGGGAAGTTTATTCTCCCAACATATTTTTTTGATTTTGGAGATGGAAGAAGATCGGGGAGTGCCTCTCATTCTTGGGAGATGACTCACTTCTACTGTCACTCCAGGAATTGGCCAAGTGACACCACTTCCTAAAGCGTAGTATAGAGGGTTAGGTTTATATGTCAACCCGGGTCCTAGATCTGATGACTACTCAGTGAGTTCTTGTTATCTAGCAATGAAACTTTAATGCAAGTCTAAACTAACAAACTAACAGAGCAAACAAACGGTTGTATTCAGGTTAAGAGAGGTCACCCGGATATGGTTCCCCTAAGACTGCAGTTAAGCCGGATTGTAATTACCAAGTTCAATTTCTATGATAGTTATACTGCGGAAGGTTCTTAAACAGCCTGAAGTCTTGACTAAAGGTCTTTAGACCCTCTCAATCTGAGTCTCTAGCGGGCGACTAACCTCCACCGGAGTAAACAGATTGAGGCCTTAACAAACAAAACCTCCACTACCGGAGTAAAACCGGTACAGAATAGTGAGTTGGCTCCTCGACTAAAGTCACCAACTCCCTACCTTCAATCAAGGATGCTCTATCAACCTAGGCAGATATTCTCATTCTAGGTCAAAGCAGAAACAACAGGAATTTGATCAGGATTCATGTCATTCAATCATTCAAACCTCAATCGAATATAATCAAATCATAGAATCAGTATTTGGGTTCATACAATCAAAGCCTAACATACAAATCTAGGGTTCTCCATACCCAGATGAATGGGAGAACTACTCCATGGAGAAGAAAGCAAAAGCAGAATCAGACGCGGAATTCATACTGTGAAGGATGGATTCCTGCTCCTAGACGTTGATCGGCACTTCTCCAAGCTCAAACTGGCCTCCAATGGTGTTGAAGATCAATCTAGGGCACTTGGAGACTCTTGTTCGTCGCTTCCTCTCTCTAGGAATCGCTCTATCTCTCTCAAAACTCGAATCCCCCTTCTGTTTGGCTGAAAATCTGCTTAAAAGGGCATCAGTGGCCAAAACACGGTCGAGGGCACGGCCGTGTAATACCTCAGCCCGTCCATGTTTTGGCTAGGGTTAATTACACGGCCAGTGCCTTGGGCGAAACACGGGCGTGTTTGGTGATGGACACGGCCGTGCTTTGGTGGACACGGCCGTGCTTCTGCCCGTGTTTTTAGCCAATGTTTGCCCAACTCGACTTTGCTCTCGGCAGTAAAAGCACGGCCACAGAACACGGCTCACCGAAATGACTAATGTTTGGTGATGGAACAATGTTTGCCCGCATTTTTAGCCAATGTTTTTGGCTCCAGCTCACCGAAATGACTTCCGAATGCCCCGAAACTCGTGCTTAGCCTTTCCTTTGACGCCTGGGACCTGAAATATGACAAAATAGCACAACCTAGCGTAAAATAGGCCAAAATACACGACTATGCCTCTCAAACGGATAAGAATTAGGGGTGCAAATACGTGCAATTACATCGTTATCGGGAGACCTTTTCTAGCAACTGGAGATGCACTCATCGATGTTGGGAGAGGCAAACTGACATTCCGAGTAGGTAAGGAGGAGGAAGTTTTTTAATGTCTTTCAAGTCGATCATAATCAAGATGCATTTGATGACTTTGAAAGTGGATCTCGAGAAAGGAAAAATTCCTTCTCCTGTGATAGTGGACAACCTGAACAACGATCACATGTCCTATCTGCTCAGATTCTGAAATCAAAGCAAGGACTGGAATCCTTGCCAGATCACCTTGATGCTTTGAAAATGAGTTTGTGCTTGAATGAAATCATCAAAATCATCCCACTAGTGTTGAATTGCATAGTTCTTCACAATGAGCTTGATGTGCTTTAAATGAGCAAACTCTTTTAGCAAAACTCTCTTTTGTGAGGATATTGTAATGACTTATGGTGAAGTGGTTAGGTGGAGAACATTGACCATTTCACATGTTTGGATACCGTGCTTACTTGCAGTTGTTGTGAGCTTTTGACTTTGCATTGAGTCTCTATGTTTTGAATGTTTTAAATGGGGTGAACTGTATCTTAATAAATGAGAAAACACTACCTGACAAGTAAAATATAAGAAAGTTGCCATAACAATTAAAGTGTGGGTAAAATACCAAAATCGTGTAAGGCAATCACTCATTGCACATGGGGATTAGGAAAGATTCAATTGAGAATCGGTTTGCGACCGTACGATGTTGCTTATCAAGTACGATCCCCAATTGAGTGAAGTGCCATTAGAGGATGTGCAGTGACCCTCCACACGGACCGAGGAAAAGGAGTTAAAAGAAGCTCCTATGCGAGTGCGAAGAAGCAGAAATTGCTCTTGCTCGGTCACCGGTAAAAAAAAAATCCAACTTGTACTAAATACGACCACTCGCAAGCAAAATCAGAAAGAGAGAAAGCCTCCCCTTGTCAGAAAAGGTAGTGATGTGCTTAAAGTTAAAATCTAGTTTGCGAAAGTCTTCCCCCATTAGTTTTTTAGACTCATGTTTTGTTAATTGCTTATGATTGGTGAGAGTAAGCCAGATTGTCCTCACGAAATATGCACCTCACTGATGTGGTTAGATTCTCCTAATAACTGTTAGACCATAAGTTGTTAACCACCCACTACCGACGATCTAAATTGAGTGTTTGCTAATTGAGTTTTTGGTGAATTTGAGTCAGTCAATGTTAAAGGGTTGCAAAGGCCTTGAGTGTGGGGTGAAAGGTATGATCATTATAGCACAACTTGTCCATTGAGAAAGAAACTATTGATTACAACAAGAGTACAAGGAAAAATTTGTTTTGTTTTGAGTAGTGAGTTTGTGATGTGTCATTGTTTTGGATGGTTATGTGTTTGTGTTGTTTGAGTCGTTGCTTAGGGACAAGCAACAATTGAGTGTGGGGTCTTGATAATTGGCTTTAATATATCGGATTCTTGAGCTTTATGTGACTATCTCACGGTATGTTTAAGCCAATTGGTGCTATTTTAGGGAGAATTAATCTGTAATGGTTGAAAAGCCATTACCATTTTGTGTTGGAGTTTTGGTGTGTGTTTAGGTGAAAAGATAGATAAAATGGCAGCACTGGAACTTCCCAAGCAGGAGATGGCGGGAGGAATTGGATCCATATTTCTTCCACATCAAATCATTGGGCTAAAGCCCAATTGATGGAGGGACGGACTGGGCTCAAGGCCCCGCTAGATTGGATCAAAAATTAATGGCGGGCTGGGGATGTTTTTGGGGCCTGAGACTTTTAATATTTGGGGGCAGCAATTAATGGAAGGGGAAGTGGTTTGGACGGAATATTTTGGGAAAGAAAGGACACTAGGAATAATTGGAGAGGGCCGAAGAATAAAAGGCAGCAGGCGGAATTCTCTTCGGAGGAGCGGAAATCCTTGGAGAAAAGAAGAATTGGCGGCGCGGAGCTAGGACGAGAATTCTTTTTGGGCGGATGATAACGATGTAATTGCACATATTTGCGCCCCTAGTTCTTATCCGTTTGAGGGGCATAGTTGTGTGTTTTGGCCTATTTTACGCCGGGTTGTGCTATTTTGTCATGTTTCAGGTCCCAGGTGTCAAAGGGAAGGCTAAGCGCGAGTTTCGGGGCATTCGGAAGTCATTTCGGTGAGCTGGAGCCAAAACACGGGCACACCTAAATCATTACACGGCCGTGTTCTGGTGGCCGTGCTTTTTATGCCGAGAGCAAATTCGAGTTGGCAAAAGCAAGCCAAAACAGGGGCACAAAGCACGGCCGTGTCCACCCAAAGCACGGCCGTGCCCATCACCAAACACGGCCGTGTTTCTCCCAACACATTGCCGTGTAATTAACCCTAGCCAAAGCACGGGCGGGCTGAGGCATTACACGGCCGTGCCCTCGACCGTGCTTTGGCCACTGATGCCTTTTTAAGCAGATTTTCAGCCAAACAGAAGGGGATTCGAGTTTTTGAGAGAGAGAACGATTCCTAGAGAGAGAAAGCAACGAACAAGAGTCTCCAAGCGCCCTAGATTGATCTTCAACACCATTGGAGGCCAGCTTGAGCTTGGAGAAGTGCCGATCAACGTCCAGGAGCAGGAATCCATCCTTCACAATATGAATTCCGCGTCTGATTCTGCTTTTGCTTCTTTCTCCATGGAGTAGTTCTCCCATTCATCTGGGTATGGAGAACCCTAGATTTGTATGTTAGGCTTTGATTGTATGAACCCAAGTACTGATTCTATGATTTGATTATATTCGATTGAGGTTTGAATGATTGAATGGCATGAATCCTGATCAAATTCCTGTTGTTTCTGCTTTAACCTAGAATGAGAATATCTGCCTAGGTTGATAGAGCATCCTTGATTGAAGATAGGGAGTTGGTGACTTTAGTCGAGGAGCCAACTGACTATTATGTACCGGATTTACTCCGGTAGTGGAGGTTTTGTTTGTTAAGGCCTCAATCTGTTTACTCCGGTGGAGGTTAGTCGCCCGCTAGAGACTCAGATTGAGAGGGTCTGAAGACCTTTAGTCGAGACTTCAGGCTGTTTAAGAACCTTCCGCAGTATAACTATCATAGAAACCGAACTTGGTAATTACAATTCGGCTTAACTGCAGTCTAGGGGGAACCATATCCGGGTGACCTCTCTTAACCTGAACACAACCGTTTACTTGCTTGTTAGTTTGATAGTTTAGACTTGCATTCCAGTTTCATTGCTAGATAACAAGAATTCACTGAGTAGTCATCAGATCTAGGACCCGGGTTGATAATTAAACCCAAACCCGCTATACTACGCTTTAGGAAGTGGTTACACTTGGCCAATTCCTGGAGTGACAGTAGAGTCAAGTCAAGTTTTTTGCGCCGTTGCCGGGGACGGCTAGGTTGTTGAAGAAAAGTGATTTCTGTTAATTTAGCTTTTCTTTTTGCTCTGTTTGCTTTGTCCCACTTGTGCCTTCACGGGTTTGCTTGCTTGAGTGTGTGCAGGTAGTGCATGACCCGTAGCCAGTCAGGAGGTTTACTGCCGTTGAATCCAGAGATTGACCGCACCTGTCGCCAACTCAGGAGACAACAGCGAGCTAGACTGGCTACGGAAGAGCGCATAGACGGCCACGTGAGCAGTGATTCTGAGGAGGAGTACGAGATGGAAGACTACAATCAACACCAGGGGAATCCTCAGCAGGCTCCCCCGGTGAATCAGGTCCTGGGGAACAACCCCATACCCCAGGATCATGGAGTTCATCATCCACCGCAGCCGGGTCCCACCTTGGAGTACTACTACACTCCTCGGATTGCTGACATTCGCCCGGTCATCCTCTACCTGCCTATTCCAGCAAACAACTTCGAGATCAAGGCATGCTGGATTCAGCTCATTACATCCTCTATCCAGTTCCATGGCTTGAAGGATGAGGAGGCCAGGGTATATCTTTCTCGTTTTCTGCAGATGACGAACGGGTTCAAGCTGAATGGTGTCCCGGATGATGCAATCTGCCTTCATCTCTTTCCCCATTCTCTGGCGGGGAATGCTAAGAGGTGGTTGGAGACCCAGCCCCCATTGTCCATCACCTCGTGCACAGGTACTATCCGGCATCGAGGACTACAGAGATTCAGCGGGAGATCACTCACTTCCTCCAAGAGCCAGATGAGTCACTTCGTGATGCTTGGGAGCGGTACATGGGATATTTCTGGCAGTGTCCCCATCATGGCTTCAGTGATGCATTCATAGTGGGGAACTTCTACAGTGCCCTCTCTCCAGATAGCCAGAGGGTGATTGAGTCTCTATGCCCAGGAGGGGATATTCTCACTAAGACTCCACCCGAGCTGAACCAGATGATCAATACTTTGGCTGCCAGAGATCATTCTTGGGGACAGGGTAGCCGAGGCAGACAGTCTCGGGACCGTGGTGTGCACACCATGGAGACCAGATCCGGGCTCGAGCAGCAGGTAGCTGAGCTAGTGCAGACATTGAAGCAGCCCAACAGTCTGATTCCGGGCAGAGGTTTGGCTACACCTCCAGTAGCTCAATGTCAGTGGTGCGAGAGCTCCAATCACCTAGTTGAGGACTGCCAGGCTATGAGGGAGTCTACCACACCCCATGAGCAGTTGGCCTTCATCGCCAATGCGCGGCGCCTCGATCCATACAGTAACACATATAATGAGGGGTGGCGCCAGCATCCCAACTTCGCCTGGAGCAGCAACACCACTAAACCACCTGGTTTCCCAGCACCAGCAGGTGGTTTTCAGCAGAGGCAGCCCTTCCAAGCTCGCCAGGGGCCAGACACACAGCAGCAGCCCTACCAGCCTAGGAAGGGGCAGCCATTCCAGCAGCCCCAGCGCCAGTTTGCCGAGCCAGCAGCAGCTCCGGCCCCAGATGATAGGATGACGAAGCTGGAAAACATTCTAGCTTCATTCATGACTAGCACTCAGGCTGCTATCACGTCACTGGAGGCAGGTCAGCGGAACCAGGGTGCCATTTTGCAGGATCTGCAGACCCAGGTGGGCATCTTGGCCCGCCAAAACACCACCAGGGCACCGGGGACTCTGCCTGCCACCACTGTCCCGAATCCTCGAGATCCTCACCAGCATCAACAGCTGGATGCCATTTTTACCAGGAGCGGTAAGACCATATCTGTTGATCCTGTCCCGGTCAGACAGGAGGAACCACTACTTGCTTCAGCACTTCCAGCAGACGATGCAGCAGTGCGGGTGGAGAAGGAAGCCCCTGCTCCCAAGCCACAACCAGTGGTTAAGGAGCATGTGCCCCCAGCTTCCCTTCCCCACTCGCCTACACAAAGACAAGCTGGAGACTGAGTTTGCCAAGTTCATGGCAATGTTGAAGCAGCTCAACATCAGCATACCGTTCGTGGAGGCACTGTCGAAGATGCCCAAGTATGCCAAGTTCGTGAAAGATCTCCTCACCAACAAGAAGAAACTTGGGGGATCTCTCGACAGTGTTGCTGAGCGAGGAGTGTTCTGCTATCCTGCAGAACAAGCTGCCCGAAAAGCGCTAGGATCCAGGGAGTTTTACTATCCCTCTTACTATTGGCAGCATGCATGTAGGCAAGTCCTTGGTGGACCTAGGCGCTAGCATAAACGTCATGCCATATAAGTTGTATAAAAAGTTAGACCTAGGTGAACTTAGCCCTACTAGGATGAGCATTCAGCTGGCTGATCGTTCCATTGTGCATCCTAGGGGAATCATAGAGGATCTGCTTGTCAGTGTCGGTGCATTCACATATCCTGTTGATTTTGTTATTCATGATATACATGAGGATGTGGATGTGCCTTTGATTCTAGGTAGACCATTTCTTGCCACCACCAAGGCACTTATTGATGTGCATGATGGTAAACTGATCTTGCGTGCTGGGAATGAACAGGCTACTTTTTCTGTGACTGAATTTGATCACTGTGCTATGATTGCTGTCACGCATGTACATGCCATTTCTGATCAGGTACACGAGTCTGTCGTGTATCCTTCTGCACCTCCTATTTTGCAGGACCCTCCTATCATTCCTTCGCCGCCACTCCATCCAGCCTCGCCTCCGAACAAAAAGATCAAGGAGGAGTGGCGGCCGAAGCAGCAGGTTGCTAAGCCTGCACGGAAGAAGAGTGGAGACCACTATGAGCTGGTCCCACCTCCTGCACCACGACCACCCTGGCCGTCCGGGTACTCACTCGCCTGCATCTTGCCAGATGGGCAGGTCGAGCTGACTGATGATGGTGGTCGCATCCGTCGGGTGCATGGCCACAACCTGAAGCTGTACCTCCAGAGCGACGTGGATCCGCTCTTGGAGGCACCTGTTCCTGCACCGCCCTGAGTATCCACCATGGGCGTCCATCTAAAAGACGGTAAAGAAGCGCTTGTGGGGAGGCAACCCCACCACGGTTTGATTTTCTTTCTTGTGTTTTGAGTCGGATTGAAAACCAGTTTGGTTTTGGTTTGTTTTCTTTGGTTTTGGATGATGTTTTATTGGGCTGACCATTGGACCTAACATATGGTGTTTGAGCTCTTTGGTTTCCTTTGGCTGTGCTTGCCCTGACTGGTCCTCTCTCCAGTCCGCTTCACTCCGACTGGCCCGCTTCCAGTCTCCTGCAGTCTGTGCATACCGGTAACATCGTTCCCCTTTCCCTTCCCTCTTCTCCATTGAGGGCAATGTCGATCTTAAGTGTGGGGGGATGTTTATCTTTGACTGCATTAGATCTGTTTGTGTGCTTGGAGCCTAGTCCACTGTCCAAATTTTTAAATTTGAGGGCTCCAAGTACGTGTTCCTTGCAATTGCCTGCTCAGTATGCTTTGAATTGACAGTCTTTATAGTAATGTGCAACCTAGGGAGGTAGTGTAGCACTATGAAGGATGTTGATGCATTTAAGAAGTCTCAATTCTTCTTCATATTGTGTTGGTTGATTGAGTGAATTAGTGATCTTAGGACCCTTGAGTTGTGTGGTGTTGTGGATTCTCTACCTGTCATGGACTCTTGTATCATGTTTTGAGTTTAACAGGTGCTCGAAAATGTGCTTCAAAATGACGTCTCCCGTGTGAATAGGGCGAAAGAGTGTAAGGGGAGACGGGAATCCGTTCCCAATTTCCACCTACTGCCTCCAGCCCCCTTACATGTCTTTCCCCCGCACGAGGCTCGAGACATCCGCTCTTGGCATGGCCGGTAAGAGCAGGTTGGGACCCTTGAAATAAAAAATTACAAAAAACAAGCAAAACAGAAAGAAAAAGGGTTCCAACCATCGTCAAGAAGAAAATAGAGCACCTTGAAAAATGTGAGTCCATGATCTTTTGTTTTTGAGAATCCCTTCATCCACGATTCATTTGTCCTCTGTTCACTATTTGCCATGATGCCGACTCGATACTAGTGCTCTCACCGAAGAAGCTATGAGATGACTTGTGCGTCGGTTGACCTCGTAAGCTGCTAAATGACCTAGGAAGTCCTCTACCTACGATCTGGGTTTTTTGTTGCTATAGAGGTCTGGAGAGTTGCATTGGTTTGAGTTAGGTTTGCTTGGGGACAAGCAAACGGTTAAGTGTGGGGGAGTTTGATAACGATGTAATTGCACATATTTGCGCCCCTAGTTCTTATCCGTTTGAGGGGCATAGTCGTGTGTTTTGGCCTATTTTACGCCGGGTTGTGCTATTTTGTCATGTTTTAGGTCCCAGGTGTCAAAGGGAAGGCTAAGCGCGAGTTTCGGGGCATTCGGAAGTCATTTCAGTGAGCTGGAGCCAAAACACGGGCACACCTAAATCATTACACGGCCGTGTTCTGGTGGCCGTGCTTTTTATGCCGAGAGCAAATTCGAGTTGGAAAAAGCAAGCCAAAACACGGGCACAAAGCACGGCCGTGCCCATCACCAAACACGGCCGTGTTTCTCCCAACACATGGTCGTGTAATTAACCCTAGCCAAAGCACGGGCGGGCTGAGGCATTACACGGCCGTGCCCTCGACCGTGCTTTGGCCACTGATGCCTTTTTAAGCAGATTTTCAGCCAAACAGAAGGGGATTCGAGTTTTTGAGAGAGAGAACGATTCCTAGACAGAGAAAGCGACGAACAAGAGTCTCCAAGCGCCCTAGATTGATCTTCAACACCATTGGAGGCCAGTTTGAGCTTGGAGAAGTGTCGATCAACGTCCAGGAGCAGGAAACCATCCTTCACGGTATGAATTCCGCGTCTGATTCTGCTTTTGCTTCTTTCTCCATGGAGTAGTTCTCCCATTCATCTGGGTATGGAGAACCCTAGATTTGTATGTTAGGCTTTGATTGTATGAACCCAAGTACTGATTCTATGATTTGATTATATTCAATTGAGGTTTGAATGATTGAATGGCATGAATCCTCGTCAAATTCCTATTGTTTCTGCTTTAACCTAGAATGAGAATATCTGCCTAGGTTGATAGAGCATCCTTGATTGAAGATAGGGAGTTGGTGACTTTAGTCGAGGAGCCAACTGACTATTTTGTACCGGATTTACTCCGGTAGTGGAGGTTTTGTTTGTTAAGGCCTCAATTTGTTTACTCCGGTGGAGGTTAGTCGCCCGCTAGAGACTCAGATTGAGAGGGTCTGAAGACCTTTAGTCGAGACTTCAGGCTGTTTAAGAACCTTCCGCAGTATAACTATCATAGAAACCGAACTTGGTAATTACAATCCGGCTTAACTGCAGTCTAGGGGGAACCATATCCGGGTGACCTCTCTTAACCTGAACACAACCGTTTACTTGCTTGTTAGTTTGATAGTTTAGACTTGCATTCCAGTTTCATTGCTAGATAACAAGAATTCACTGAGTAGTCATCAGATCTAGGACCCGGGTTGATAATTAAACCCAAACCCGCTATACTACGCTTTAGGAAGTGGTTACACTTGGCCAATTCCTGGAGTGACAGTAGAGTCGAGTCAGCGGAGCGAGCAGCTTGTTGCGGCGATCGAGTGCAGAGCAGCGGGAAGCAATTATCCATATTTGTTTTCTTTTGCTTTGCTTCGTACCATGATGATTATGAACATGATTGTTTGTTTTATTTTCGTCATGAACTAAACCCCGATTTCTGGGGGAAACACCATAGGATGCAGCTATTTCTAGATTTGATGGATTGATTCATATCTCTTTTCTTCCAAACTCTATTGCATGAAATTACTTAATGCTTTGTGTTGATTGTCCACCAATACAATGATTTGTAGTTAATTAGGTTATTAGCGACAGTGAAACCCTAATAACTGAACATATTTCATGTGACATAGTAACTTATCGAAGCGACAGTGGATTAAATAAGATGCTATGCGGTCTTGATTGGGATATCGTTCTTCAGGCTAAATAGTTAAGTCATTGAGCTACGACAGTAGGATTTGATTTAATTGTTTAGTACGTAGTAATTCCCGACAGGGATAGCTAGCATAATAATGATATCTTGGCTGTAGAGATATGGATTAAATATATTGGAATATGTGAATTAATCTGGATAGGATAGGTAGTGAGTCCCGGTGTTTCTCCCAGAGCTTTCTCCGTTGAATTAATCCCAGAGCTTCACCCACTGTGTTTGCTTCGCTGAGCGCTGAACAGTCTCCTCCATATCATGGAGAAATGAGGGATCGCAAGTGGCAAGGGCTTTGATTTGAATATCCATCTTGGAGCATGATTTCTCAGTGTCTCGAGCAAACTGCTCCACGAGAAGCCTTAATTGTTTGTTCGGATCTTCCAGTGAAGTGTAGCATGGCTCTGTAGAGTGGCCCGTGAAGGCCGCCATGGGTAACTCCAGCTCCGATGGCCCTTCTGGTTGTGGGAGAAAGTCTTCTTGGTAATGAGGTTGTTCTTGATATGCCCAGGGGTCTGGTTGTTCTCCATGGAAAGGGGGTTGGTACTGGAACCCAAATCCATAGTCTTCTCCTCCTTGATTGCTGTAGGGAGTCGCGGGGTAATACCACCCAGATGGTGGTGGATACCCCCAATGATTGGAGAAGCCATTAGGATCCATGATTCAGATCTGCACCAACAAAAACAAAAACACCCAAGTGAAAAGCAAGGGTGGAAAAGAAAAGAAAAGAAAAATGCTAAAGTAACAAACTTCTGCCTTTCCTAATACTCTAGAAAGTCCCCGGCAACGGCGCCAAAAACTTGACACGCTAAAATACAACACCTAACAATGGCCAAGTGTAACCAATGAAAGGGACTGCAGTATAGTGGCACAAGTAATAAATATCGAATCCACGGGTCTCTAGAGTTACTATTACTCAGCTTCAGTTCATTATCTAGCAAACTAGATTAAGGATTGATTAACTAACTACTCTACTAACTAAACTAAGTAAAACTACTAATTACAGTTTGGGAACTCACTTAGGTATGATTCCCCCTAGCTCCTCAATTAGGTCCAAGTTGTAATTCCTTTTGGTTGATTTACTGTTGATTAAACTGCGGAAGATCCGACAGTAGCTTGGAATCTCTTAAGCTGACCAAGCCCTCTCAGTCTAACTATCCGGCAGACGACTAGTCTTCACCGGGATAGAAAGCTGAAGCAATAAGCACAGAACTCCACTACTGGAATTGGATTCCAGTACAAAGCAGTAAACTGGCTAACTCTCGTATAGCCAATCTCCTACTACCGAATGATGAGACTCTAGCAACCTAATCAGATTCTATCTATCTCAGATTGCAGCAGGAATCAGGAAAAGTTGATCAGACTTCAATTGACTCAATAAACATGCATCATTCGATTATAATCAAACAATATAGCATCCAAAACTTCATACAAGAAAGATCCTAACTCATGGAACTAAGGTTCCTCAAAACCTAAGTGAAGGGAAGTTACTCCATAGAGAAGAGAGAGACTGCAGAAATCTGATTTAGATCTTAAATCTCCATCTCCAAGCTTGATTCCCGAGCTCCAATGGCGAAGAAATCCTCCAAAATAGCTCCAAGAATGTTCCCAAGTCGCTCTCTTTCTCTCTAGGATTCGTCCCTTGGGTGTTTGGGATCCAAAACTCAGCTCTCTCCCTTTCCTTTTGCTGAAAATCGGGTTTTAAACAGCAATTCCCGACTCACACGGCCGTGTGGCTTTCCCAGCTGCCCGTGTGAAGGCTCGGTGATTTCCACACGGCCACATGGCCAGGTCACACGGCCGTGTGGGTTGTGCCCGTGTGGCTTGCTCAGCCTCTGTTTAATGCTTCGTTTCTCCCTCGTCCGGACTCCGAATCAGTCGCCGTTTGATCCCAGACGCTCGTAGTCTCGTCCTCTTTCTTTTCATGACAAGATTGCATGATTATTTGTCCATAAAGTGAGGTATAAATCCATTCTTCTTCAGGTCATACCCGAGTTTCTTCTCCCGAATCGTCAATTGATCTCTGATTGACTTGAAACTTGCGCCTATGCTTCACTTTATGTGCTAGGACCTGAAATGTGACAAAGGAACACAACCTAGCTTAAAATATGCCAAAGACGTAATAATTCAAGCTCAAACAATCAAGAAACAAAGGGGAAAACATGTGCAAATACCGAGTCATCATCTATCAAAGACCCAAACTTCAAGAAATTTGTGAATCTCTTCAAGCAACATCATATCAACATACCGTTGGCAGAGGCACTTGAACAGATGCCTACATATGCTAAATTTTTAAGGGAGTTGCTGACGAAGAAGCGCAAATGGGCTGATCTAGATAAGGAAACCCTTATTTCTGAATGTAGTGCTGTGATTCAGAATAAATTACCAGAAAAGAAGGATGATCCGGGCAGCTTCACCATTCCATGTGTCATTGGAGGTACAGAATTCAATAAATCACTTTGTGATCTTGGAGAAGGAATTAATTTGATGCCATACTCAGTCTACAAGAAATTGGGATTGGGAGATGTTCTTAAGCCTACTCGGATCACTCTCCAATTGGCCGATCGATCAGTGAAAATTCCAAAGGGAGTGGTGGAGAATGTATTGGTGAAGGTGGGGAAGTTTATTCTCCCTACAGATTTTGTGATTCTGGAGATGGAAGAAGATCAGGGAGTGCCTCTCATTCTTGGGAGACCTTTTCTAGCAACTGGAGATGCACTCATCGATGTTGGGAGAGGCAAACTGACATTCCGAGTAGTTAAGGAGGAGGAAATTTTTAATGTCTTTCAAGTCGATCATAATCAAGATGCATTTGATGACTTTGAAAGTGGAGCTCGAGAAAGGAAAAATCCCTTCTCCTGTGATAGTGGACAACCTGAACAACGATCACATGTCCTATCTGCTCAGATTCTGAAATCAAAGCAAGGACAGATGTAAATGACCGTGATGCTTTGAAAATGAGTTTGTGCATGAATGAAATCATCAAAATCATCCCACTAGTGTTGAATTGCATAGTTCTTCACAATGAGCTTGATGTTTTGACTGACTTGATGTGCTTTAAATGAGCAAACTCTTTTAGCAAAACTCTCTTTTGTGAGGATAGTGTAATGACTTATGGTGAAGTGGTTAGGTGGAGAACATTGACCATTCCACATGTTTGGATACCGTGCTTACTTGCAGTTGTTGTGAGCTTTTGACTTAGCATTGAGTCTCTATGTTTTGAATGTTTTAAATGGGGTGAACTGTATCTTTATAAATGAGAAAACACTACCTGACGAGTAAAATATAAGAAAGTTGCCATAACAATTAAAGTGTGGGTAAAATACCAAAATTGTGTGAGGCAATCACTCATTGCACATGGGGATTAGGAAGGATTCAATTGAGAATCGGTTCGCGACCGTACGATGTTGCTTATCAAGTACGATCCCCAGTTGAGTGAAGTGCCATTAGAGGATGTGCAGTGACCCTCCACACGGACCGAGGAAAAGGAGTTAAAAGAAGCTCTTATGCGAGTGCAAAGACGCAGAAATTGTTTTTGCTCGGTCACCGGTAAAAAAAAATCCCACTTGTACTAAATACGACCACTCGGCAAGCAAAATCAGAAAGAGAGAAAGCCTCTCCTTGTCAGAAAAGGTAGAGATGTGCTTAAACTTAAAATCTAGTTAGCGAAAGGCTTCCCCCATTAGTTTTTTAGACTCATGCTTTGTTAATTGCTTATGATTGGTGTGAGTAAGCCAGATTGTCCTCACGAAATATGCACCTCACTGATGTGGTTAGATTCTCCTAATAACTGTTACACCATAAGTTGTTAACCACCCACTACCGACGATCTAAATTGAGTGTTTGCTAATTGAGTTTTTGGTGAATTTGAGTCAGTCAATGTTAAAGGGTTGCAAAGGCCTTGAGTGTGGGATGAAAGGTATGATCATTAAAGCACAGCTTGTCCTTTGAGAAAGAAACTATTGATTACAACAAGAGTACAAGGAAAATTTTGTTTTGTTTTGAGTGGTGAGTTTGTGATGTGTCATTGTTTTGGATGGTTATGTGTTTGTGTTGTTTGAGTCGTTGCTTAGGGACAAGCAACAATTGAGTGTGGGGTCGTGATAATTGGCTTTAATATATCGGATTCTTGAGCTTTATGTGACTATCTCATGGTATGTTTAAGCCGATTGGTGCTATTTTAGGGAGAATTAATCCGTAATGGTTGAAAAGCCATTACCATTTTGTGTTGGAGTTTTGGTGTGTGTTTAGGTGAAAAGATAGATAAAATGGCAGCCCTGGAACTTCCCAAGCAGGAGATTACGGGAGGAATTGGATCCATATTTCTTCCACATCAAATCATTGGGCTAAAGCCCAATTGATGGAGGGCCCCGCTAGATTCGATCAAAAATTAATGGCGGGCTATGGATGTTTTAGGGTCCTTGGACTTTTAATATTTGGGGGCAGCAATTAATTGAAGGGGGAAGTGTTTTGGACGGAATATTTTGGGAAAGAAAGGACACTAGGAATAATTGGAGGGGGCCGAAGAATAAAAGGCAACAGGCGGAATTCTCTTGGGAGGAGCGGAAATCCTTGGAGAAAAGAAGAATTAGCGGCGCGGAGCTGGGACGAGAATTCTTTTTGGGCGGAGCGAGCAGCTTGTTGCGGCGATCGAGTGCAGAGCAGCGGGAAGCAATTATCAGTATTTGTTTTCTTTTGCTTTGCTTCGTAACATGATGATTATGAACATGATTGTTTGTTTTATTTTCGTCATGAACTAAACCCCGATTTCTGGGGGAAACACCATAGGATGCAGCTATTTCTAGATTTGATGGATTGATTCATATCTCTTTTCTTCCAAACTCTATTGCATTAAATTACTTAATGCTTTGTGTTGACTGGCCACCAATACAATGATTTGTAGTTAATTAGGTTATTAGCGACAGTGAAACCCTAATAATTGAACATATTTCATGTGACATAGTAACTTATCGAAGCGACAGTGGATTATATAAGATGCTATGTGGTCTTAATTGGGATATCGTTCTTCAGGCTAAATAGTTAAGTCATTGAGCTACGACAGTAGGATTTGATTTAATTGTTTAGTACGTAGTAATTCCCGACAGGGATAGCTAGCACAATAGTGATATCTTGGTTGTAGAGATATGGATTAAATGTATTGGAATATGTGAATTAATCTGGATAGGATAGGTAGTGAGTCCCGATGTTTCTCCCAGAGCTTTCTCCGTTGATTACTCCCGACAGTTTTCATTTAGTTACTTTGTTTATTTTATTTTGCTTTTAGAAATTAGTCTCATTAAACTATTTTCACCTATAGTTTGCTTTATAAAATTGATAGAATATAAGGTTGTACCAGTCCATGAGAGACGATACCCGGACTTTCCGGTTTACTACGAGATAGGAATTGAAGCTATACGCTTTTGCCCTATTAGGGTCCCTCGGTGGTGTGTATGTGGGATGGGGCTACAAGGGTTGGGTTTCATTTGGCGAACGGGATGGTTCTGCTTGGCCATCATAGGGACGTCTTACGAGCTCAAGGGATCCAGTTTCAGTCTATTGATGATCCTCTGGTGGTGGAAACCCTTGTCCTCCGGGAAGCGATCTCTTGGTGTGTGAACAATGGGTTCCTTGATGTGCAATTTAAAGGCAATGCCAATGTCATTATCGACAAGATCAATCAAGCGGATACCAGATATAGTAGGGTTGTGGTGATTTTAGCGGAAATTAGACAATATATTGCAAATCACTCTGGGTCTAGCATACGATTTGTAGGTCGGAATAACAATAGGGTTGCCCATGCGGTGGCTAGAAAGGCCCTTTCTTTGTACCCGTCTACTTGTCGTTCTTTTAATTTTTAGGCCTGGCAGGATTCCAGGATGTAACTATCTTCCTTTGTTGAATCAATATATGATTATCTTTTGTCAAAAAAAATTATTTTGCCGATCTATTGCTCTGAATGTTATTGATTGTTTTGTTCTCTACTTATGAGAGTGTCCAACTAATTAGGTCAAGATTAGAACTCAAATAGAGCAGTATGAGAATAATCTCATAGAATTTACAATAAGTTATATTCTCATTTGCATTTGGGGTAACACACAATATAAGAATCCAAGCATAGAAGTGAAATTAAGTGCAGTTTGTTGACTTATTTGTTGTCCTAGGGATTCTAGCATCATAAGGAGTTAAGGAAATTACATGAGAATTCCATTAGACTTGGTCACATGCTAGTTTGGGGGATTTCCATACTAAATACGTTTTTTTTGTCTCGAGTTAAAGCTTACTTGTTAGTTAGTTTTCTTTCATTTGCTTAGTGTTGATTGAAATCATATTAAATCGGTCAAATAATAACAAAGTTGCAATAGATTCCCAAAACCCACTGAATACAATGTTAGTCACCACTATGCTACTTCTTTAATTAGGGTATACTTGTCCCAACACAATACAACATGAGAGTTTTAAGGGTTGGTGTCATTTAAAAAAGGCTAATACACTAGAAACCCCGAAGTATTAAAGATGTGTCATTTGTGTTCTAAAGTATCCAATATTACATTTGTGTCCTAACCTATTATAGTTGCGTGTCATTTATGTCCCGACAATTTCGTTGACCATTATAGATAACGTTGACCAAACGAACGTCACAGATTTGGTGATGTGGCAAAAAAGTTTGTAGCCATGTAGATGTCACATCATTAAATATTATTTTTTTGATTCAAAATTTAATTATTTTATAAAATAAAAAAGTAAAAAAAATTAGAAAGTAAAAGAAACCTAAAAAGTTGAGGTAAAATACATCGGGTACCACTAAAGTATGAGAATTTGAGGAGCTATACCACTTAAGTTTGAATAGGGCGTCGGGTACCACTGAACTCTATTATGTGCACCCGGTAACACTTAAGTTTACTGCTAAGTGCATTCCGTTAAAGTTGACAGAATATTTTTGGAATATTTCATTTTCTAAATTTCAGAAATGGTCCTTTTACTTCTTATTATTTAAAAAATCCTTTGGACTTATGAAAAACATCACTTTTTTATTGTTTAGTTGGAATCTTCTTTTAAATTATCATTATGTGTTCTAATAATTGAATTACTCCCTGAAGAAATATATTCTATGAATTTTATCATGATATAAATAATCCGAGGATGTTATTTTAGTTCACTTAAATCATATTGATGTTGTCTAATTTTTCATTTAAATCTCCTTGTAATTCTATATATTATATTCTAGATGTTCCATATTAGTTAAATTTACTATTTCTATTTCTAATTCTTTTTCTATAGTCATATTTTCTTTTCTATATTTGAAACCGAATGTTGTAGCTTTTATAGTTTACTTATTACTTGGTTACCTTCTGTCTCATTTCGTTTAAATTTTTTTCAATTAATGAAATATATTTAATTTTCAAATTTTGTTCCATTTATCCTTCTTTGGTCTTGATGTTTTAGTGGTCAATAAGGTTTTATTTTAACTGATTTTAGTAGTGCTTTTAATCGAATTATGGGTTTAAATAGATCTTCTAATATTGATTTTAATTATAGATTATAATCTTTTAGTATATATATTATTCCTTCTTGATATTCATTATTATTTTTACTATTTTATCTATTATATCGAAAAAATTTCATTAGCCATTCTAGTAGTACTATGTTTAGAAGGTTCTCTAATTTTTATATTAGATAATACTTGTTGAAAAAATAATTTTGATGTTTTTAAAGTTTTGGGTACCAAAAGGTAATTAAAAGTTTGGGTTGGATGGAAAACTAGACGGATACACATTTTGGAGACTTTAATGGTACCCGACACTATATTCAAACTTAAGTGGTATGTCTGCCCCAATTCTCAAATTTAAGTGGTACTCGAGGTATTTTACCCTAAAAAGCTGCCTCCCTATGCCTCTATTCGTCGGCCCTCTGTAAATCCAAAAGCCTCCTCGCCACTAATGAAGACGATTCATCTCTGTCTCTATTCTTCAAACCCTCTCGCCTCTGTTCTTCAACTGGCCTAGCTCCACCGCAACCCGACTAGCCTAGCGCCGCAACCCTCCACACATCTCTCTCTCTCTCTCTCTCTCTCTCTCTCTCTCTCTCTCTCTCTCTCTCTTACTGGATTTGGCAGTGATGGAGGAAGAAGGGAAGAATAGTCGATGTCGAGAGGGAGGGAGGGTGCGAGAGGCGGATGGAAGAGAAGGATATGAAGCAGATTCCGAACCAGGTTGGAGGAAGAAGAAGTTCGATTTCTAGTTCGGAGGTTTGGATTTCTGGGGATCATGGTTTAGGTACTCTCTTATTTTGGGTTGAAGCTCGAACCCCTTCCAATCGCCGACGAGGAGGCGGAGGGAAGCTCGTACCCCTTCCAAATCGTCGATGGAAACCTGTATAGCCAAAACCATCTCCAACTCCGTCGTATTCGAATTGCTCTTCGTCACTGCAGATCTAATTTCAACACCACTGTTTCTGAGTTTCATTGGATCTGCAGCTCTAATTGATCTACATTCTAGGGTTCACATCGAGGCTTCAACTGGAACAACGACGGAGGTGAAGTGAAGATTTCCTCCTTCAGGTTGCGGCGGCGGCGAGGTTTCAACGGGAGCAACGGTTTTCAGGTGCTTCAGTCGAGGCTTCAATAGGAGCAATGGGAGCAGCGGTTTTCAGGTTGCAGCGGCGGAGGTTGGGAAACGGGAGAGGGAAGGGTAAATCCCCATTTTTTGTAATTTTTCATTTTCTTTTCTTATATGGAAAATAATTATAAATTCCACTACAGATGCCACATCAGCACTAACTAGACTTTCTGTTAATGACTAACGATCAACGCCGGTTAACTCTAACAAAAAAAATAGTTTAGGACACAAATGTCATATTGAATATTTTAGGACACAAATGACACATTTTTCATGGTTTGGGTTTTCTAGTGGTATTTTGTCTTTAAAAAATGTTGCAACGAGAGTGATTTTAGGTGGGACACAATAGTCATTTTGAATTAAAACTAACCTAAAATATAAATAATGATCGCTCCATGTGTCAAGCTCTCTCCTTTAACTTTAATTTTAATTATTTTTGCATATAAAAATTTATTTAACGAGATCTATAAAATGATACCCACTTTTTATATTTTGAAGAATAAAATTCTATGTCAATAATGACATACTCATACAGAAGTGATTCATCGTTTACCATAAATAGTACATCAACAAGTTTTTTTAATCAGTTGTAGTTTAGTTAATTTGGCTAATAGGTTTGATTTTTTTACAAATGACTAATTGGTTTGGTTTAAGTGGATTGATTTGGTCATACAATCTACTAACAAGGCTAACCAATCTACTAAATTTTCTTCAGGCCGGCCTATGATATTTAGAGGTCCTGTTCGAAAATTTAAAATGTGGCTATAAAGATTTTTACGTAAATTTTTTAAGACTAAAAATTATTAAATAATAATAAAATACATAAGTTCATAAAGTGATTGCAAAAGGAATAAAATCATCCATCATTGTTTAAAAAGTAACAACCATCTAGTATTATTTGAAATAAAATCATCTATTAGCTCTTCCATCTTTGCATCATCCAAATAGCTATTCTCAATTGCTAACATAGCTAACTCGTTAAGGCTCTCTTATGTTATTGTAGAGCACATATAAGACTTGAACAACTTTAATTTCAAAAAGCTTCTTTCTGTTGTAGCAACAATCACATGAATAGTTAAAAAGTCAATGCGAATTATAACTGATTTAGTTATTTTTTCCCTTTATACTATTGGTGGTTGTACCTACCTATTTTGGTTAACGTTTAATAAATCAATGCGAATTATTTAATTAATTAACCACTATTGCCTTGGTAGTACAAACATATTAATTGACGAAAATGAAGAAATTTAAAGCAACAAATTTAATAATGATAATAATGAGGCATCATCAATTACCTCTTTTGTTCTATTTAGAAAACACGCGACAAAGAATAAGTTATGTTATATGGTTTGAAAACATTTTAATAAGAAAACAAGTATTCATCTCATGTGATTCGACCGTTCCTTTAACCTTAGGATTAAAAATTTTATTATTTTTTTAGACCCATAATCAAAACTCAATTTATAAATTTTTTATCGTTTTAAATTTATAACCGAAATCTAATAATTCGTAATTGTAATTAATCATATATAGTGGAGGACCAGAGGCCCCAAAATTTGGAGGCACTATGCCGGAGGGCCGGCTGGCGCACCCTTAGGGCCGGGCCGGATTTTCTTTATGGCAAATGGGCATTGGCGCAGATGTTTGGGATTCCTATTGGCATGTATAATAGCGACAAACTACATGGGTTGGTAATACAAACTCAAATTGATTCATCTTGACTTAATGCACTGAGGGGTCGTTTGAAGAATATGAGTTTAAATCTAGATTGTCAACAACCTTAATAAAAAAATTAGAGTGGTTCGAAAAATATTAAAAACTTTGTTGATAAATATATTTAATATTATAAATAAATAAAAGAAAGAAAGAGAAAAGGTAGAAGAAAAAATCTTACGAATCAATATATAGAATCTCTCTGATTATGAGAGATTTGATATCCATAGATTTTAGAGATTTGAAATCTCTAAAGCTAAAATCCACAATACAAAAAGCAACAAAAAAAATATAACTTTCTAAAAAATCTACGGATTCAATGAATCCACGCACTAAATCATGTTCTCCAAACGACCCTTAAATAGACTTAAATCAGTCGAATCATGTGAATTTTATTATAATACGTCAATGTGATATGGAATGGAGAGGTTTAAAGGGGAAGAACAAATAATTAAGTTGCACAAATAATAACTCATATAAAACGTAAATAGAATGCTTAACGGTTATGGACATATAGACTATATGTTTCTCTCATACCACATTTCCAAATTGTTTGTTCTTATGATTTCAATATGAAGTACTGATGAATGATGATCAAGGTAAATCGCAATGAAAATACTAAGGGTTAATTGCATGGTTGGTCACTGAGATTATAAAAAACGTTCAAGTTTGGTCACTCAAAATATTTAAATCCAATGGTGGTATTTCAGTTTACTAAAACCGTTCACGTTTGGTCACTCCCCGTCCAACTCCGTTAACTTTTGCTTACGTGGCGGTCAACTTTAAAAGTTGACCGTTAAATGTGTGACATGGCAATTTAAAAATAATAATTTTAATAAAATTAAAATATTTAAAATTGTCATCTCATTTCCACCTCATTATCACTTTTATTTAAAATAAATAAAAAACCCTAATTTCTTCTAATCTCCAATAACAATACCCGACCTCTCTCTGGACACCCGCCACTGAGAATCACTCTCCCCAACGAGCGCCACTTCATCACCCACGTCCTCGCCTTCTTCGTCGCCTCCGACTAGGGGTGTTCAAATGGTTACCATGGTTATAACCAAACCAAATAAGGCTAAATTCCATTAACCATGAAATACAATATCATAACCAAACCGTCCAAATTAATACAACAACCAAATTAACCAAACTAAAGTTTAATCGGTTTGGTTAATTGGTTAACCAAATTAACCAATATAAAATCACATTATCATTGACGATGAAAATTTTTCGGGATGACAACAAAACCCGAACCCACGGGTACCCACCCGACCCAACCCGGTCAACGCGGGTAAAACCCGTGTGGACGGGTTTTGGGCCGGGTTCGGGTTTAAACCCACTACACTATTCACCGGGTTGGGTTTGGGTTTGGGTAAACCCGCCCCATGGATACCCGCCCACATATATAATTACTTTCCCGGTATATTTAATATTCTAAATAATATATCTTCTTTAAACAACTAATATTATTTATGTTTGTGGAGACATGTATAATTTGTTCTTTCTAATTGTTTAGAATGAAATTGATATTATGGAGTGGAGAGTGAAGAAACTTATTTGACGAGGAAGAAGATTAATATTAATTTTGTTGTTTATAGATGTTTATCTTTAATTTTGAATAATTTGTATTGATCATTTGCGGTTTGCTTGTATGTTCTAGATTGGTGTTTTTTGTATGAATAATTTGTATGAGAAAATTGATGTTAAACTTTTATTTTGAAATAAATTTGTTATTGTAAATTTTTTACCACAAAAACCCACGGGTACCCATGAACCCGCGGATACCCAGCGGGTTGGGTTGGGTTTGAGTTTTTCAAACCCAGCGGGTTTTACCCCGGGTTTTTTTTTTGCGGATAAACCCATGGGTTTGGATTTGGGTTTGACAAAACCCGCCCCAACCCGACCCGTTGCCATCCCTAGCTGGAAACGACATTCCTTTCAAGTTTTCATTCATCATAATGTATGAAATTTATCTAAATTAGGTGTCCATATGTTGTGGTATAGACTTTACATATATAAATATACACTATATGAGCAATATTGAGTTTTATATCTTATGAGTCTAAAAGGGATGAACGTTAACTCTTGAGTGGTTATGCAAAGTATTATGTGTATATAATATATGTTAGATATATGACTAATTACTTAACTGGTTAATTTGGTTTGACTGGTTAGGAGTGTCTGAAACCAAACCAAACCATCTAAACCAAACAAGCTAAAAACTTTAACCAAACCAAACCAATTATCCAAATAAACCAGACCAAATTATCCAAATAGTACCGGTTAAAACGGTTATCATGGTAACCAAATCGTTTGAAGGAAAGGCTAATGATGTTAAAATAAAAATTACGGGAAGATGGGTTTAATATTGTCAATTAAAAAAATGAAATATTTAGAGCTTATTTATTACTTATATTTACAAGTGGATTAGCGTTTAGAAATCGATATTAGATAATTTATGATATTATTTAATTTTATGATATTGCCAATGCCGTATCTATTTCTCTTTCTGCAAATGATCACACGAAACATAAATTGTTAACTTTCACTAATCAAATTCAGGATCTTAAGCTAGTAGTTAATTAAGTACAAACCAACTAGTTTTATAGCGGTTCACCACCAATTTTACAATGGCCAACAGTTTAACCATGAACCATCATATTTCCCAGTTTGATGCGGTACGGTTCAAAAAATACATAGCCACGCAATCTCAAATAGAAGATGATTAAGAAATGAATACCATGAGTCCAGGACAACAATAATCCTCACGTAAGAAAACCTTCAACTTCCAAACATTAGGCATTACAGCAAAATTACACAACACGAGAAGAAAATGAAGGAAAATCTCTTAATAATCCTAACAATGAAAGAATTCTATGTGTAATCCTTCCCAATTCAATATACTAACCATGGTAGCTAGAAATTTGAAACAGTATTTTTTCTAAATTCAAAAGAGAAGAAAGTAAAGAAGAGCCAAGAGTTCCACAGAAAACAATGGCGTATAAGTTATGTTTTCACATCACAAGATAATCACCCACAAAAGACAGAGAGAATCAGCTTGCTCTCCATGAAAACAAAACATCAAAATATGAAACAGACATTAGAGAGAGTATTTACACTTCCCCCACACCTTTTTCTCTGAATGGTTGGTTTCCTGATCCTCCCAATATCAATCTCCACCATCACTTTCTTCCCCATGGAAAACAGTAACACTGCAAAGACACCCCATTTTTCAGTAACATTGAACACCATACCATAATCTGAACAAGCATAGATTGAAGAAAGTGCTGGGGGGAAAATGTCATCATTACCAAGGTGGTTTCGCCAGAGTTGTGCTTCCGAGCATTGCCATGGGACGAGTCGCCATACGAGCCGCCAGGTCCCCTCCCTGCAACGCCACCCTGTCTCTCTTCCCTCACCATGTTGAAGATGTGAGTGTATCCATCTGCTGATGCCGGGTTGTTCTCGTCCCAGTCCCCAAACTTTGGAACAGCAGCACCCTTATCAGGCTGATTCAAGGACAAGGAACCGATGTTAATGTTTTTAAGTGCAGAACTAATAAAATGATGAAGATTTAAGCTCTCAAATGAAATGGGAAATGAGGGTGGTGAAACTTTACACTCTCGTCGCCTTTTGGTCTCAGTCTTGACCTTCCAGGTGTACTATGACTGCTCTCATGGGAATTCTTCCCTTCCCAGACTGGTGACGGTGCCCCACTGGCACGGCCTCCTGAGATTCTAGCATGAGGATGTAGTGGTGAGCGTTCAAAGCTGTTATCAGACCCAGCACTGTTCCTTGCAGGACGGCTTACTGCTCCTCCTCCTCCTCCTCCACGGCCTCCTCCCGGCCCAGCTCTGCGGGTCCCATTTTCAGGGCGTGCTGGAGAGCCAACGGCCGGTTTGAGTTCACTGGCATCATCCCTGCGGTCGTGTGCTCGTCGAACAACAAGCTGCCCAGCAGCGGGTTCTACTACTGGTTCAGCTTTAACCACTTTAGGTGGAGGAAGCAAATCTGGGTTCTCCATGGGATCATTTGGGTTGATCATCTTCCCACCGGTTCGGCCCTTCCTTGCCTTGTCGAAATATGCGGTGTATGGGACTTGCTCTTCACTTTCCCAGTTGCCAAACTTAGGCACATGCGAACGCTGCTGCTGCTGCTGCAGTTACAAAAAAGTTAACGTCCAGCCCACATTTTGACAATAAAAGAAAAGGCAGCATCTAATAGAATTAAAAAGAAAGGAGAGAACATAATGTTTCCAGTAATTCAAATTAGCAGCAGAATGAGCAGTGGCAGAGCCCAGTGCTGAATTAAGCTTCTCTGTAACACTTTCAGGCACACAAAAATGATAGGATAGCACTATCATCAAACGAGTGAGTGGAAACATCGTTCACTTTGTAAGGTAAAAATGAATTAGGAGTGATGGGTTCAACATCATCGATCACCGAGTATGTCTAATATATGGCATCAGCTAATTTAAACACTAATGCTCCTGCTGAAATCACATTGACTGATGCTTTCCCACAAGCAAGTAGAGGATCATACTAACCTACCAACTGCCAAATGCTAAGCCCTCTCATCAGTCAGCAATAGTTTATCTCAGGAAAAGTCAGGGTCGCTGTTATCTTGACCTTTCAGGGCATACTTCCAATACTTATGTCTCATCCAGGATTCTCACTACTCTCACCGATGACTCATTCAAATAGATGCATCACTCTGTCCTCAGTATGTGCAGTAAAAAACTTAACCCAGGAGTTTACAATTGTAATAGACTATAACGAGGGCAAGGATAGACAACATAAGCCATTGTAAGAACTGCAATGTGCAACTGCACTCATGATTGCAACTTGGGATTGGGGCTTCAACTGCCCTACCGCCCCATTAGCATCAAGCGTTCAAGTTGGCACAGAAAGGATCAACCAGAACAAACAAACAAACACAGATAAATGAATATATATATCAGAAATTCAGATGATTTGGAAGTCCTTAGGGATCAAGCTCACAAAGTTGTAGGTCATGACTAACAAACCAATCATCTCAAATACGAAGAATGAGCCTTAATACATCATTGGCTGCACCAATCCCATGTGATAGTTCTACTTTAGCAAGTTAATTTGAGACAATGGTTTCATCATGGCAATCAAAGCAACATGTTAACCATCCTTTTCGATCACAGCAATGGCATCTCAGTCATAGCACCGCGTCTCAGTCATAGTAAGGCACCAATATATTTGCTAGAAAAACATTAAGCATAAGCCTATCTCATTCATGATTAATAACATCCAAACATAATAATGCATACGTTTACTTCATTTTTTCACAAATGTCATAACTTTTATAAAGAGAAGCACACAAAACTACTTTTGGCTGATCACAATCATTGCATCCATAGCATCTCCAGTTCTCAATTAGAGACTTTATTTTCACAGGAGAATCAGTCGGTCCAAGTTAAAGAAGAAAAAAGTGAGTGATACCATTAACATTGTGGTGATATAATTATCTATATACCCCACTTTCAATTTCATTAATCCAACCTCGAATTTCTAAATTAAGCGCCACTCAAACATCAGAGTAAAAAGACCAAATCTTCCTATAATCGGTGTCGTTCCTCCAGAATCACGAGTTGCAGGTTCAACCTAGACATACTAAGAAACACCCATCTTTGCTTTCCTTAAACCTCAGTACCCATAATTCTCTAATCCTCGCCAATTCCTCGTCACATAAAGTCGAGTAAACAGTAACAATAAAACCGGAGCTTTGCAAATCAACAACACCACAGCAACATACAAACCGCAATAATTTTTCTATATGCAGCTACAACCTGGGCAGAATCATCATCTTTCAACCTTGAAAAGGCTGCTACCTTCCCAATGAGACAGCCAGGGAAAAGAAAGGAAAAGATGAGCGCAAGCACAGAACTTACCGCCATTTCCTCTTTCTTGTTCTCCTTTCCGGCAAGGTTGGAGCAGAACCCGAAGAGCCCAAAGCTCAACCCTTCAACAAAATCCAACCTCTTCTTCTCGCGGCAATTACTAGCTCAAGAGAGCTCCTGCAAGATGGAAAAAGGAAAACAAGGAAGACTTTTCTAGAGAGAGAGGGCGTTCTAAACCAGGGGGAAAAAGCATAGAGCTGGTTTACAAGGAGAAAGGGAGAAAGAGGGAGGGAGGTATATCAACCATTGACCGGAGCCACCGGTTTAGTTTGACGATTCTTTGGTTTCTTTCTCCTCCCCCAATTCCAAGTCTCCTTCTCGCTGTAAAAAACTAGGGAAGAAAATAAATTAAACCCAAAAGAAGCCGAGAGAGAAAGACGAGATCTTTGTAGTTTCCCTCCGCATCGAGCCGTCCTTCTCTCAAATCACCATCACCAATTTCACCCCCTACCACTGCCAGCGAAGTTTCCACTTCTTCCACCAAGCACGCCATGGGTTTTCTCTATACTACCCATTTTCTCACAGTTGACTCCATAAACAGGAGAGGGTCAACCAATGGAGGGTGGTCTGTTTCTCCGTTTCCCAATGGGGTTAACGGTGACGGGGGAACTGTTAATGGCGGCTTGACCGGACCAACTCCTCCGTCCCGTTAGAAGGGAAGAAGGAAAAAAAAGAAAGAGCGCTGTCCCTGTGGCTGTGGTTGGTTGTTTTGTATGTGTCAGAGGCTCAGAGCTGAGCACCGGGTAGTGTGTTTCATCGTTTGTCGGCTTCTGTGGGAGCATTTTCTCGCTGGCTGAATCGATCATTTCTCCTCTCTTTTTCCGTTTTCCCACTTAAAACATAAGTTTAGCTAGCTAGCTAGCTTTCCCTAATAAATATTGAAGTGGCTTGGCTTAGTGGACTAATTGCTGGCTGCAGTTTTCAACTTTTTCATTAGCTTCCATTTTGGAGCGCGTGTCCTTTTCGTTCTTGCGAAATGACACGTTTGATTAATCATTTTTTTAATTCATTTTCTGTTTGTCACTAAAAAATATTAGGGTAAATAACTATTAATTTTTTAAATTTATTTTAAATATTAGGGTAAGTCCTTACCCAAACACCCCTCAACGGAATAGCACGTCCAAAATAGAGAGCATGCTAGTAGAGTCCGCAAGACCTCCATCAAACGAGCACATCTTAAAGTCATCCATCTCGCCCTGCTCGGCCTCGAGCTCCAACAAAACAAAGCCAGCCACAGTGCCAAGATAACCACGAGAAGAAAACACTTAATAAGCTGAGGAGGAGCCAACTAATGTCAAATTCTTGATAGACGCTTATTCTACCACTAGTCCCCATTAAAACGATGGTTGGTGAAGGAGATGTCAATCCAATTACATCTGCTAAGAACCACCTTCATGTGAGAGAGAAGGGCAAAACACGATCATGGCAAAGAGATTCCTCTACTTTCAGCACGACCACTAACATTTTAAAATTGTTGATAGTGTTCGTTGGTGCATTACAAGAGCCTTAAGTAGACAAAAAAAAAAACTTATTCTCCCAATTCTCTGTATCTCGTCTCCTCTACCCGTAAAGGGTTGCATGCCTATTCTTCCCGTCATTCCCAAATCATGTTATTCAATCTTTAAATTCTATATTTCGTTTCTTAGTCCCTATTCAAATCCAATTTTTAATTTCATAAATTGACCCAAACATGCCCTAGATCACAAGGTATCTAATAGGGGTATCAAATTAGATTAAACATTTTGAGTTCTGAAAAAGAACTCACCATGAGGGAACTAGCTCAAATCTTAATGGTTAAGGTTCGAACTAGTTTTAGACTCGCCACGACTGCTGATCCACCAAGTCGAGCCTGTACCACCTAGGTTGTCATGCCCAACGCGTCGACGCTAAAGAGGGCGGCCGAAAATAAGTTGTTGTCAGCGCAACAACTGCCCTTGCCATTGCGGTTATCATAACCACCACTGCGACACATATCACCATTGTAACTACTAGACTTGTTGGCGGGTCGGAGAACGATGGTGAAGGAAGGATAACTGAACAACTATTCATGGAAAACATCATTTTTGTGATCGAAATGACCGTTGCTTCATCGTCTCCTGAGCCGAATCAACCGGATAAAGGATTTACCAACAGACTCGTCATGAATATCACAACAAAATTCCACCTAAGACCCAAGTATAAACCTTAGATGAGTGCAACATAGGACAAGTATGTTTAAATATCAACCCAGGCCGGTCCATGTACCCCCTACTTCCATTGTTTGGAACATTATCTAGCGGATTGGTTTTTGGTTGAAAACTATGAGGTTTAAATCAAAACAAAGCAAAGATAAATGGTTTGAAAGCTCTAGATGAGAAGGATCACTCGGTTGTCGCTTCCCCCTATCTACTAGTCTACTACCATAGCACGTGGACTCGAATGGGACGTTATGGGCAAGGCGGTGCAACTATGATGAACCGCTAGGAGGTGAAACTATGATCGAAGACCACACTTTCAATTGCCAAACCGAGGGATACATTATAGGCTACTAGAGTAGCCCTCTTAGTTAAGGCAATTGAGGGTTGACTTACCTTCTCTCTCAAACTGATGGTTGGACGGCTAATTACGATTAACCTAGTCGATTAATTCAAGATAGAGGTTTGCCCTACATTAACCTAGGTAGGTGGCTTGAAAAGCCCAAGGAATCCCAACTAAATTGAGCCTCTTTTGGCAAGGGGTGTTTCCCCTCTAACCTAGGTTAGAATGGCCAATTAGATTGCTAAGCACAAACATGCACAATCATCATGAAAATACCTCAATCATTAAATTAAACAACACCCATAAACAATCATTCAATTCACACTACAACTGCATGGCAAATAGTTAGGGTTTCACAACACCCAAGTGAACAAGGTGACTACTCCATGCTAGAAAGGGGAAGAACACAAAAGAAAGAAGTAGAACCATCATGGTGATGCCTCCACTCTCCTTTGATCTTGTGTTGATCTTCTCTGGAGGAGATTCTTCCAAATTCACCACTTGGAGCAAACCCTAGCCTTTTTTCTCCTTTGGTTCGTCCTTTCTCTCTCTAAAATCTGAAGAAGGTGCTTTCTCACTCTTGGGCTCTCCCTCTCTCTTCCTTTCAGCCCAAATTTTATACTGGGATCGGACTCAGTTCACGGCCATGAATTCTGCAACGCGTCTGTGAACTCGGAGCGTTGTGTCGAAACGCACATCTTCACTCACATGAGTTCACGGTTTGCACTCAAAGTTAACGGTCTAGTTGGCCGTGAACTCGCCTTGCGTCAGTAACTTCAGAATTCGCCCTGGACGCTTTGAGGTTCACGATTTATGGCTTCAGTTCACGGCCATAGGAGACCGTGAACTCCAATGGGAAACCGTGAACCTAGCCTGAATCACCCTCTTTACCCGGTTTTTGCTCCTTTTCTTCAAACTTTCGACTCCGTGGCTGGTTTCACCTGTTAGATACTGAAACACACTAAAGCACACAAAACCTAGCGTAAAACCACCTTTTAGGAGTTAAAATGCCACAAATGCCCAAGGGAAATAGGGATAAAATGTGTGCGATTAGGCCCGAATCACTCCCCCACACTTAGATATTTGCTTGTCCCCAAGCAAACCATTTCACACGAGGTAATATCTCAACCTATCAAAATGCTTTGGGGACAAATCAAAGGACACAAAGTGGCAAATCTCAAATGGCTATTGGCAATTAACACAAGGACCGTTGCAAGCAATACCGACATCCACCACAAATGACATTCGAGGCTACTAGGAACGGGCAAATGAAAAGTTCTCACATTGTTCATGAATCAATGAAATTTTCAACAAGATCACTTACCAACCAAAACTAACCATGCATAGATTTCAATTCCAAGGAACAAACGGATGGGCAACAAAGGTCCTCACCGGGGTATGATATGACATGCAAAACAAGAATGAATCACTCACTCTCTTGACCAGTGGGGTCGGGACCTTTTGGTGCAAAGAATGTGCAAAATCATCAACACTCGGTCCTATCGTCTCAACAACATGGCGGCAACCTCTAAATGCTAGAGTTCACGGAATGGTTGTCATCACTAGCTTGTTTGGAGGTTTTAGACACGGGTTCAAATGAATGGCGATTGTCTTGGACATGGGGAAAAGACTTTTTGGATGGTAACAAACACATCATAAGGTCCTACATCTGCACCCTAAAACCGAAGGTTCTATGGTTTTGACTAGGAACCTTCCTTACAAACAACGACCACTAGCATCGGCCAAAAACCTTGCTTCTCCCTTCCAAACTATCACCCATCATGAACTTCCCTTAAGCGCTATTCCTTGGTCTACTCTTGGTATTACATTTCGATTTGGTAGTGAAGGAGTTCTAAGACCATGTGGTGGTTTCAATGGCTTGTGTGCCAAGAAACCACCCCTAGAGCATACCCTGTGATTCCTTGTGGCACCCTCTACTTTATTTACCCCGTTTTATTAGCTCTTTTTCGTTTCTTTTTCTTTCTTTTTTTCATTTCCTTTCTTTCTTTTTCTTTTCCACGCTACTTTTAACGATCAATGCTCACTTTTTAAGAACTCACTCAAACACTACTCTTCCATCCACTTTCATTCCTAGCAAGAACCGCACACAATCATCCTATGTAGAACCTCAATGGAACTCAAAAGCGATAGCTCTGGGATACAAGGACGACACACGTATAGACACGAAAAAATGATGAGGGGGGGGGGGGGTCGTTCTATTAACACCATTAAGCTCACAAGAAAAAAAGCTCTGAATCATGAGAACGACCCCCAAAGTCACAAGGCTCAAAGGGGTTGACTAGTGGATAAATCATTTCGGGACAATCAACATTTGGGTGTGGACTAATCATATGCCTCCATCATACTCACTAGTGACAACTATGATGTTACTCTCCATGGTAAGAAGGATATAAGCACACAAGATGAAAACGATCGACTCAAAGCTCACATGGCTACCTAGTCACCCAACCGTTTATTCCAATTCACAAAGTAACATGCATAGCAATTGTAATCAACAAGTAATCGAGTCAAAACATACATTCATTTTTGCACACATGAGAACTAAACCTTTGCTCTATCCTAATGCACCTCTCAGTCATCATCATTGGACATACTTGATCACATTCAACAATTCAAGGTCAATGCCAATAACCACAAGATTCTCATACAAACCAGCCACTTTGATAATTAAAACATTGCTTGGAGCCCTCAAATTTTTCAAAGTTGGACATATATCAAGGCTCCAAGCATCAATCACACTCACACAAGCATAATAATAGACTACCCCCCCCCCCCCCAACACTTAAGCTCAACATTGCCCTCAATGGCGTAAGATATGGGTAGAATGACATTACCGCTTTGCTTGGTGAGTGAAAGTTGGAACTGTTTCCAGGGTAGGAGATTTGGAGCTTCAAGGAGAAGACAAACACACACACACACAAACACAATACGACTTGCTGAAGGCGAGGTTATTTCACAACACAATATGATAGTAGTAGTAGTTTATAGTCACACACACATAAACGAAAGAAAAATAAAACAAAAGAGTTCAGAGTTCCAAGTGGAGTAATGGGGCAAAAGGAATCGGCTATGCCACATATCTCCCTCGTCGGCTAACTCTCACTGGGTCGAAGGCCCCAACTCATCATCGGGAATGAGACCTTGGTGTCGAGCCATCTGCTCAAAAAGGTCGGTCTGCCGGTCAAGGCGGGAAGTCACTCCCCCAAACTGGATCTCGAGACGATCCATCCTCTAGACGAGTGGATCACCGACTAGTGTGGATGCTAAAGCAGGTGGTGGTGGTGGTGGTATAGGACGCTAGAGCGCGGGACGCTGGCGGCGACTGGGTGCTCGAGAAGGTGGCTGCTCTGGGGGTGGAACCCCTAGAGGTAGACTCAATCCCTAAATGTACTGAAATTGTCCAAAGGTGAGCAATAAGCGCATGGAGTGCAAGGTGCCCTCGTCAAACCCTGAGGTGCGTCCCTCCCTAATGCATCCCGCAAGGCTGAGATTGAAGTAGCGAGCAAGCGGGTGATGTAGGGACCCATCGATGTGATATAACAACCTTTGCCCCCCATGGCCCTGGCAAAAGAAGTGGCCACGACTGAACCCAAGTGCAAGTCGAGTAGAGGGAACGAGCCAGGAGTGCGATGATGACACGCCACTGGAGCTGGATTAGATGCTACTGTGAGGGCTGACCTAAACTTTGTCCTTCGGTGCTCAGGGAGGCAGAACTTCCGAAATGCGGAATTCATGTCGCAACTTCGGATGGCGTCTTCCTCCCATTCTTCCTCATGTTTGGCTTCAACTCCTAAGGCTCTAGCTAACCCGTCGTAGCACAATATGCGACATTCCCCTCCCAACAGGAACATGACCAGGCACACTTGATGGCCGATGAGGGTATGGGTCTTGACGAGGGTGGAGGTACTGAAAACTCGACGCATAGTTCCTCATAATTATCATCTTCGAGATCAAGGAGTTGGCACCATTGTGGGTGCACCACTTCGAGATCAAGGAGTCGCCTAATTCCTCGCCCTAATTCTAAGTTCAACATTCAAGGCACTACAATCCACCTCACTTCACTACCTATTCCGATTCTCCCAAAAATAAATAAGGAAGAGCTGAAAAACCAACTTGGAGACGCAAGTAGGACGTCGGAGGAAGTGAGGTGAGGGTGAGGAAGGCGAAAAACAGCCTTAAAACAATTCGGAGTAGGGTCTTCGGAGCTTCATTGGAAGCTCGTCGGACTCTCGTCGGAGGCTCACCGGCAGCGACTTCGTTGGAATCTTTTTGCCGTAAATCTCCCCAAAATCCAGGCGAAGGTCGCCCTTGATGAGGGAAGAATGGATCTGGGGTTTGTTTTGGGTTTTGCTCGCCGGAAGGGAGTGAAAAGGCCTGAAAACTGTCGGAGAATTGCGGTTTTTCGGCGAGATTTGAATTTTCCGGCAAGTTTTGGGTCGTGAAGTGAAGGGTCAACGTTCACACCCATTTTATAGATGACGCTGCCAGTTCACAGACGCGTTTGCCAGTGTAAGTCAAAGTATCGTTCTCTAGGGGATTGGTGAAATTCAATAATTAACAAATTTAGTTCAAGAAATTGTAGAAATTGCAAAGGTTGTAATCAAGTGATGAGTTGTAGAATTACTGAAATTAACTAACTCGGAAAATGAAATATTTTGGAGAAATTAACTTTGAGAGTTGCGGGGGAAACACAAGATTCTACTATTTACCTCAATAATTTTAATTACCCTTGTCAATCAATTTAATCCATATTTCTACAATCGGGATACCTCTAAATTGATAGATATCTCTATCGAGAAGTACCACGTACTAACTAATTAAGACAATTTATACTATCGTAGTTAACTGAATTAATTAATTAGCCTTAAGAACAATATCCCTAAAATGACTGCATAATTCCCTATTTAATACACTATCGCTTCGATAGGCAATTATGTGGTGTGAAATACGTTCGGTTACTACGCTTTCACTATCGTTATTAACCTAGAACACTACAAATCATTGTGAAGGTGGCCAATCAACACAAAGCGTCAAACAATTTCACATGGTAGAAAATGGAGGAAAAACAAGTCATGGTTCAAACATCGAGGCTAGATAATGAAACCATAAGTTTCCCCCATAAATTGGGGGATTAGTTCATGATGAAAGAAAGTACATAAACATGCTAATGTTCAACATGATAACTAAATTTTTTTTATCATAGTCAGATGAAATATTAGACAGATATGATTACAATAGGTAAATGCAACGACAGTGGATACTAATCTATATGTCGATAAAAGAGCCTTTTATACCACTAAATGGGCAGCTCTGTTACTTCCCTAAGAAAAAAGTGACGAAATAACACTTAAAATCACAAAAAGAATATAATCTTCACGATACACCTACGCCAGCCTTCAAGCTTCCACCGCACTTGATTGCGACAACCGCGCAACAAACTGCAGCCTCCAGCTTTTGCAAAACAAACAACGCAAAATGCCCCAACTAGACCCATTCCATTAGTAGAATATAAGGATGTCAAAAATGCCCAGCAGGCTGAGGCCCAAGAGCCCAAACAATTCCTGCAAATTCGAGTAAGTGTGGCCGAATAGATAAATCAACACCGTTCTTTTAGTGGATATTTTTTTATAACTAAAAGATAAGATCAGCCAACCCAAAACCAAAACCAGGTGGCAAGGATAGATAAGATCCACCGCCAAGGAAAGATAAGATCCACCAACCCAAAACCACGTGGCAGTCGTTCATCGACAGGAAAGCATGCACAATAGAGGGATGTGTGATGACGATGGTGATGACTACGGAGGCAGATGGGGAGGCGGCAGCGACAGCAGAAGACGTCGGCAGCTCCAACAAGGCAAGTTGATGTCGATTTGTAACCAAGAACTTGGAATTGAACGGCAGATCAAGGGGAACGAGGCTGATGAAAAACCGTTATGTCACCAAACCTGCAATCATCACAACAAAAACCAACAAGAACAGCAACCAAACTGGCTTCCAGGAAAGTTTAGTTAAATCAGCATCAAGAAATCTGAAGAATAAGGAACAAACCTAATGACCAAAACTAATAGAGGAACAATGGAGAAACATGTAAAACTAAGAATATCGGGGTCTTCAATTGAAAGCAAACGCAATCGAATTGAAATAAGAGAGAAGATCAACCAAATCCAAAATTAAAGATGGGGGGATATTACCGAAAATATCCTTTTTACACCACCCGTCTGATTTAATTAGCTGAAGCAGAGGAGGGATGGCAAATCAGTTGCAGCCATGGATGGAAATCTTGTGTTGTGGATAGGAAGATGGACTAGGGAGTTCAACATGATAACTAATTACCTAAACAAAGGAGTAGAGAAAGTACTAAGTGTTAAAGTTAATCCCCAACTTACAAGAGTATTCCTTTCTTCAAAATGCTCAACTCCAAAGTGTGTCAAAGTGAGCTCTCTCCTTTGATTTTTTTCTCCAAAATTTGTCTCCAAAAGTGTGTACTAAGCTCCCCTAGTTGCTGCCCCTTGTACCCCTTTTAAGTTCATCTTCTGCAGATTTTTATACCCCACACCAAGGCAATTGCAGATCCCATTTCCAAGAGAACTGATCCAATTCCAATGATTTCTTAGGCTGCTGATTATTGAGTGAAGATTCCAATTAACAATAATTCGATTTGGGTCTATATCGGTTTGGCGTCCTGCTGGACATTTGCCACTGCACTTCTACACTTTGCCACTGCACCTGCATTCGTCCACTGCACTTTGTTCTGTCTACAATCTTAGCTTCAATTTGTGTTAAATTGCTAAAATGTCTTGGTAATGACACTAGGGTCATTTTCATGGTCAATATGAATTAATTTAGAGCAATTTAAACACATACATACATAAAGATCAATCATTTATGCACATAATACATGTATTTTATGAATCTTATCACAACCCCACACTTAGCATTTGCTTGTCGCTAAGCAAAAGAGAGAAATAATTGAAAGAGAAGCAAATAAACATACAACTAAAACTCCTAGGACTCAAATAAAATACACACTACTCCTAAGACTCGACTAATAACATTTTTGCTTGAATGATGGTGTGACTAGCTGTGGACCTAGTATGCTTTAGTGTAGACATCTATGTATATACACTATCGTAAAATTCCACCTTTCCATGCATACCTAGGGTTGCAGGTTAGATTACACTCCATCACATGATATACCCTACACATAGAATAAACACACAAAAAATGGATAATGGATTGTGCCAAAACTTATTTAAACAAAAAGTAAGGTAAGTTAATAGTAAAAGCATGTCATCTAGATTCCCTAACTAGGAATGTGTATTTCTCTCAATCACACAAGTGTTTAAGGGTTGGTGTTTATGCTCAAGTTTTTCCTTACTAGTGCTCACCAGAACCTTGTTCTTTAACCACAGTTGGACCGATCAGTACAAACACAAGCATATCAAGATGACAATGTTCGGGTGATATGTGTAAGGTTAAGGATGAAGGTGAGGTTTCGGAGGATGGAAATGGTGATGCTCACGAGGAATGAGCTACAAAGGTGGACGCAAAACAAGAACTATCTAATATCGAGGCCTTGAAGAAATGAAAAATGCATAACATAAGCAAACTAGAACTATACAACAAGGGAAGAACATCGATTCCCAAAAATGATTCATCGATCCTTATTTATTCGCCCCTTTTCTCTTTCTCTTAATTTCATTTCTTTTTTTCTATTTCATTATTTTCTTTTGATTTTTTATTCTTTTTGCTGTTTTTTTATTTTTTTTATGGGGGATGGGACTAGAAGACATTACATTGATGATCAAAACCTTTTTTTTATGTAGTCAAGGACAAAATGATGGAATAGAAGGTGCAATGGCCGAATGCCTATGTAGTGTCAAACTGCAGACTGCATCTCATATGCTATAGAGAGAGTGTGTGTGTGGTGATTTTTAGAGTTTCTAGTGAGAGAGAGCAAAATCCGATTTCCTCACCCACTGGGATAAATGATCTATTTATAGGCTACCACTCGGTGGGTGGGCTTTCGAGATGACACGACAGTTGGAAAAGACAGGGGTTTAGGGTATGATGAGGTCTACGAATAGAGTGGGTAGCCTTGTCATTCGTCCGGTGTCGTTTCTAAGTATCGCGCGCGGATGTCGCTGTCGCGCTCCCGCTCATCTTGGCGACTGGCGGTGATGGAGCGGCGTCTCCACAACTTATGCGCGGATGGCGTTGGCACGCTTCCGTTCCTCTAGGTAATCTGCGCTGTCTTTCTGCGCAGAATGAATGCTGCTCCCCAGCGTTGCCGTTTGTATGACCTACTCTATCTTCCGTGAGTGAGACATTGTAGGCGCCCTTCCTAGCGCGCCGTTATAGACGCGTTGATTGATGGAGCGGACAAAACCGAGCCCTTCCCCCAACAATTGCCCCTCAGCCGGGGGTATTCCGCGAGTGCCCCCTGTTCAGTTTGTGCGGCTTGAGATGGCTCGGTTGAAGGCTACTTCTTTGTTCCAATCTTCTTATGCACGCGATTGTATTTACGCGCTTCCATTGGCGAGGTCTTCCTCCGGTGCTTGTGCATTTGGCCCACTTTTCTTTGGCGACGTGTGGCTTTACTTTTTTTATTTTTCTCGTTTCGGTGGTGTATCCTGCACCCAGGCGGGTTGCATGCATAGTGGGTGCGCCGCCTTTAGGTACCAATCACCATTTGATCATCGTCCACATGGCAGTGTCCTGTCCGCCCATTCGGGCGGTTAATTTTTGGTTTCGAATTTTGAATTCCCGATGTGACGCTTACGATTCCCAATGCGGTTACTTCCTTTTGTCTTCTCTTTCTTTCCCTTATAAATAGAGGTTTTCGACTTCAGTCGAACAACTACTATTGCTTCTCTCTACTTTGCGAAAGTTTTTGCTTCCCAGATTCCATTCCTTCGTTTGCGACCTCAGTTCTGTCTCTACTCTGTCTGCTTTTCT